CGTAAAGGGTTAATTAAGGGTTAATTAAAATGAAAAACCACTCTTAGCCAGTACCGTGCACGCTACAGAAATAGATTACTACTGACTTTTCCCACTATGTTTTTTAATAACCGTATCAAATTGTTACACACAATCAAATGTTATATATTTGACTTAACTTTACATAACAAAATAATTGTAACGATAGGTAAAACAATAACGTGCACGCTACCGTTCAATGGAAACCACGGGAAGGTGGTGGTCACTTCCATCAGGAGGGAAATGTAAAAAATTGTTATTTCTTTGTAACATTATCACATGGCATATATTAGAACGTCTATATTCTTCTTTCCTTTTTTTTTGATTCCCCTCTAAATTCATTTCTGCAAAATGAAATATATTAAATTGTCGTCTATATACTGCTATTCATTCAATAGAACTTTATTTCTAATTATTGCCTTTTAAAAACCCTATGGGAACTGTGCTATATGTATATCTACGTCCTTTCTTCGTCCGGGCATTTCAACGGCCCATCGATGCGCGAGCAGTATAAACAAAACACTATCGCCACGTGCTCGAGCCACTGCTGTTTCTCTTGAGTCAGTTGAATTCGGTCGACGAGGACGAACATCAGGACAAATTTAAAGGTACGTGCCGTAGGTCATTCTGAGATATTTAAATTGAAAAAAAGCTTTCGCGTAATTTCTGTAATTTTCTGTTCTTTCGCTTTTCTGCTTTTATATCATGGAAACGGTTGTGAAATCGAAGAATAAGTGTAAGCGCGGTTTTTTATCTTCATGGATAAATGATCATAGGTTTAAATCATGGATACGTGCAGTACCCCATGATAGAAGTCGTTTTTATTGTACTTTATGCAATAAGTCTTATTCTTGCGGTTCCTCAAACGTGTATAGACACGGAGAATCTGGGTGTCATAAAAAAAATAGTACTTCTAAAAGGACTTTTATGCCTCAATGGCTTGAGAATGATTATTTCAAGCCATGGTTGCATAAAGTCGACGGCGACCCGTTATTCGTGGTTCTGTTCGGTTTGCAACAATCAATTTTCATGTCGATTATCGACGATTTATAATCACGCAGATTCTCAGTGTCACATTGAGAATTATAAAAAGAGTAACAATAACGCAGACAAATTGAATAATAATTTTACGACGCAATCCGAAGAATCGCCTCTGTCGTTGGATGAAAGGATAAAATCCGCGGAAATCAAATTTGCCAAATTAATAGCCGAAAAAAATATTCCGTATCGAACCGCAGAGACGATTCTTGAAGTTTTCAAAGACATTGGGCAAGATCCTGATGTCTTGAAACATATGTCGTTCGGTCGAACAAAGTGTTCAAATATTATATCAAACGTTTTGTATCCTTTAGAAACAAAACGTATTTCTAGTGTTTTACAAAACACTAAATTTTCTATTTATATTGACGAAACATCCGACTCGACCAACGAGAAATGGATGACGTTTCTTGTTCGTTATGTTGCACCCGAGACTTTGGATGTTCGAACGGAATTGGTAGAATTATTACATCTTGATGCCAGAAATTGTGGCGCAGATAATTTATTTAAAACATTTGAAATTGCCATGATAGAAAGAGAAATTCCGTTCGAAAATATTGTCGCGTTGTCATGTGACAACGCTGCTGTCATGACAGGGCGACACTCGTCCTTTATGACAAAGCTTGCAACAAAATGCAGGGACAAATTTTTGACTGTCCGCTGTCCGTGTCATCTGTCTGCAATGGTAGTGCGCGAAGCGTGCAATACCATTCCAGACATATGCGAGGAGTTGTTACGAAAAGTAGCAACTTTCATATACAGTAGTCCCAAACGTTCGGCTATATTCCGCGAATTTCAGCAATGTTTTCAAACAACCGACCGAAAAATTTTAAAATTGTGTTCTACGCGATGGTTATCGCATTATACATCCGTAGTTACACTTTTAGAGAATTGGGACTCTGTATTGCTTTTTTTGCAAGAATTGACAATAAGCGAGAAATCAGAGTCCGGGGAACGTCTGTTAATCTCGATGCAAAATCCAGAGGCCAAAGCATATCTTTATTTTCTAAATTACGCTCTTGAGTTTTTTTATAAATTTAGCATTTTCTTTCAAACTCAAGAGACAAGAATTCATTTGCTTTCAAAAGACTGCGGCAGAACTTTTATGCGATATATTACGCAATTTTCTGAAACCGCAGCTTTTGAAACACATGGATTTAGTAAGAATGATGAATTTTTCTGTAGTCGAAAATCAACTTCCATTTGATAGTATAAATTTAGGAACAGAGTGTCTTAATTTTCTGCATCAACTGAATGCAGAAGGCAAGTCCGACATCGTAGAAACCGTAAGGAAAAATTGTTTAATGTTTTATATTACAGCTGCAAACGAAATTCGTCATCGATTGCCAATCGATGACGAATTTCTTAGCATGTTGTATGTTTTTGAACCAACTTTTATATTAAATGATACAAATAGAGACATTTCCTTCAGAAATGTTCTCTTAATCGCTAAGAAATTCGGCGGTTTCGACGAAGGACTGCAAACAGAATGGTCAGTATTGCCTTTGGAATTTACAACGAAAGGTAGACAGACGCTTATCGAGATGAAATTCGATGGTTTCTGGAAAACAATTTTATTAACGCGAAATTTGGACTATAAAATTAAATTTCCTGAATTGATGAAATTAGTAAATACAATTAGATCACTTCCAAATTCCAATGCCGATGCAGAAAGATTGTTTTCCATGTTACCTGACATAAAAACAAAGAAACGAAATAAACTTTCTTCGGCCAGCGTCAACTCTATTTGCGTTGTGAAATCTTCGTTAAAGGCGCAGAGGGAAAACTCTCAACCCATGGAGGTAGATGACGATCATCTAGCTCTATTGTATTCCAAAAATTTATATCATAGATTTGCTAAGAAGCAAAAGTGTAATTTAAGATTAAACGCAACATATGACAATAACTTTGAGAATTTTCCCGCTACGTCATATGACGAAAATTAAGGTACCGATTTACTACAGAGCTTTTCTCTAGAGAGATTTTTCTCTCCAGAGAAAAGCTCTTTAGTAAATTCGTACTATTAGGCTGCAATGACAGTATAAACGTTTTCATGCGACGTCGCGGTAGACTGGTCTTGTTACGTCAACGGTACCGTGACGTAGGCGCAACAAGGTGTGATGCATGTATGTGCCATAACGTCACGCGAAAGCGCTTACACTGCAACCGCAGTCTTGTTAGTGATGTCCAAAATATTTTTTTTTGGACATCGCTAATATGTAAATAGTCGTTCAATTTGTCTCGCGTTGTTACTTTTTTTACGTATTTCGCTTGCTGTAAATACTATTCTGCTTGCTCTAACTATCATTTTTTTTCTTCATTTATTTGCTTATATTTTGCCGTATATTTTTAGTTAGTGAAATTGCTTGCTGTAGATAGTGTGGCTATGACGTAGAATGTCGCGCCTTGTTACACTTACGTCACGGTACCGTAAGAGCAACAATGCACGACATAACGTGCCAGCTTAATCGCAAACGTCCTATCCCGACATCCCATCCTTTGGAAATGTAAACAATTATATCATTTTTCCATTTTTATGGCTCGTGTGTATATTAATAAAAATTAATGCATTCACGAGTTAGTTTTTCATTATATTGTAATTTCATTACATTAATAAAAACATTTTAATATACGGCATGTGATAATGTTACAAAGAAATAACAATTTTTTACATTTCCCTCCTGATGGAAGTGACCACCACCTTCCCGTGGTTTCCATTGAACGGTAGCGTGCACGTTATTGTTTTACCTATCGTTACAATTATTTTGTTATGTAAAGTTAAGTCAAATATATAACATTTGATTGTGTGTAACAATTTGATACGGTTATTAAAAAACATAGTGGGAAAAGTCAGTAGTAATCTATTTCTGTAGCGTGCACGGTACTGGCTAAGAGTGGTTTTTCATTTTAATTAACCCTTAATTAACCCTTTACGAGTAAGACTGCTTTGAACAACATTATTCTAAAATATTTGTGGAATACGTTTTTTATGTGGTTTAGGTAGGTATGCAAGGCATAAGATTTCGTTCAATTTTTCCTGTCTAGGAAAGATAGGAGAAAAATATATTTGATCTTAATCCTTCTTAAGATTTATATAAATCGCTTTAAAAATTTGTTACAAATGATGTGTATGTATCGAAATAATTATAAAACTAAAAGACGTATAATCATCATTATATGGGAGCTGATCACGCTTAAAATATAATGAGACCTTAAAACGAGAACATAAGACTTAAATGTTAAGTTTCATTGAAATTCATTCAGCCGTTTAGACGCAATCATGTCAATAGCATAGGAACAAAAAAAAATATCGTTTTTTTCAATAGTCACAATATGATCAGGGGGTCCCAAAACGTGTATTTCCGCTAAAAAAAAATTTCAAAATTTTTTTTCATTATGATACTTTATAAATTTCCTTATACCTTACATATAGGTCGGAAAGTAAAAATGCTGGGGCAGTCGAGACTTGGAATCGTATGCCGATTATCGCGAGGTCGTATTTCAGTTGTTTTGTCTTTTACAAGAGCAAGAAGGAAAGGCTCACACTAGCGTTCTTTATCGATTTGCCGAAGTTGTGCGAAGTGCCGAGCTCACGTACACGTGGCTCGTGCGGTAGTGTATGCCTGCTATCCCCACCATTCCGTTAGACGCTAAGGAAGTTCGTCGTCACTGTTGTCGATTTCGATGCACTCAATTATGCCAGATCTGGCCACACTGCGTCGGTGTCGGTGACCGATGCACGCGAAGAATAGACAACGTGAACGTAACAAAATCTCCATAGAATCGCACAGGTTAGTTTTTATAAGTATATGTTGGCAAAATCTTGCATACGTTATAGAGAAAATCTCGAGTTGGCAAGAAACTGAAGTGATCAGATTATGTCGTTGGCAAGCAGGGTGGTGTGAGGTGGTAGAGTTGTATCTAAAACACATTGGACAAGCAAGGTTGTTTCGATCGGTATTAAAGGAACACGGTAGCTCGCGTAGTCGGCCGAGAGACTGAGCTTCGAGAGGATCGAGAAACAGTAGAGAGGGAAGAACAGACGTTTCAAGTGCATAGGAAAGATTTTGAACCGTGTATTGCTAGAGTTAACAAAGAAGTTGCAAAATGTTTCACGTAAGAAAATTGACGAGATCATCAGTTACCTTGAAACAAGTGCCGAGTAATAATGACATTGTTCATAATACATTGATACGTATCGTGCCGGCGTTTCAAGTACGTGGTTACGCTGAACATCAGATACCTGAACGATTGAAGGATGTCCCTACAGATTCTAACCCAAAGTTCTTTGACATGGTTGAGTACTTCTTTCATCGAGCCTGCCAGATCATTGAAGGCAAACTGGTCGAGGATATCGGCAAACGTACCAGGGTGACCGTCGAGGAAAGGAAGAAAAAAGTTAAGGGTATTCTGATGCTCATGGAATCATGTGACCATATTCTCGAGACTTCATTCCCCCTGAGACGCGATTCTGGCGATTATGAAATGATCACTGGATACCGCGCACAACATTCGACCCATAGAATACCTTGCAAAGGAGGTAAATCACTTACGTTCATTCGAACATTACTATGATTGCTCGTTCAATTATTCCTTGAATATAAAATAGTAACGATTCTTATATCTATTAACGTAAATTCAGAGGTACTTTCCGTATATCTTACTTCCGTTATTCTATTTGTAATAATTAAACAGATATATAGCATGGTTATCATTTATATCCCCATACAGGCAAAAATAGGTGTAATTTTGTAAAATCATTCTTTCTACCGCGGTTGCCTCAAGTCACTCGAATTCGATTTAGTGAATACATCAATTACGTCATCGGTGACGATATCGTGAGGGACGCAAGAAATATTTAGCTAGACTAAATTCGCATTGAATCGCGATGAAGTTCTCATTTATTTAAACACAAAATGTTTATAACGGTTTCTATGTTTCATTTTTTAATTTGCTGTAACCGACTGGTTACTTTTAAGTATTCGTTGTACGTATACGTTTAAACTCGTGACGCTTCTGTCGATTTTACGGCTTCGTGCATATGTTACAACGCGGTTTTAACCTCGATTCTGAAAGACCAGATTATCGAGAGTATATCTATAACAAGTAGCGAAATTTTTTGATCATTATTTATGATGCTCTACTTTCGATTAAATAATCTTTGCAGAAGGTTAATATCCGAAAACCAACTTTCATTTCATTGCTACGTATACCGTAATGTTTTTGTTTCTGATCACCGAACATAATCATTCAGATAGAAACATAAAAAACCAACAAGCAGTAATTATCGAAGTTGTATTTTAATAACTCACGATTAAATGGACATGGGATAACAGACGAATGTTTACATTTAGTCTGCGTATGAAAACAGTGCTACTCACGGAGATTAGGTTACACCGATTAAGCAGTCGTTTATGATTCTAAATTTGTCGGGACTAATTTAATTTTCTAAACGACATTAAAACCGACACATTCGACACTTTGCGAATGTCGAATATGTGGAACCACTTTATGATTCGTTGATAAAGATATTATTAGCACATAAGTGCGTATTATCATCTCCTTGATGTAAATCTGTATAAGCTTGTCTTTAGTAATCACGTGCGATATAGAATTGGTGGGCATGTCTCGTGAGCCAAGTAAACAGATTCCTTTAGATGACCGTTCCTTATGATTGCTCAGTCATCAATCGTTCTTTATAATCATTTTGTTTATTTTCGTAATTTAATTTACTCGAGTTCTACTGACAATTAATTGTTATTGTTACAGGGATCGAAACGTGATAATTGTAGCTTTTTCCTTAAAATTTGTAAAAAATTAAGAAACCTTTGTACATTTTTTGATAAAATACTAGCATGTTAGCTTTGGGGATTTTTCGTTTATTGATCAATCCGTTGCTAAATAAATCGCAAAAAAACTAGGAAAATTTATAAAAAACTTTATAAAAAATTAAGAAACCTTTTTTTGATAAAACACTAACATGTTATCTTTGGGGATTAAATATTCTTCCTTTATTGACCGATTCGTTGCTAAATAAATCGAAAAAAAACTAGGAAAATTTATAAAACTTTATAAAACTTTATAAAAAATTAAGAAATCTTTGTACATTTTTTAACAAAATACTAGCATGTTAGCTTTGGGGATTCTTCCTTTATTGACCAATCCGTTGATAAATAGTCGCTAAAAAAACTAGGAAAATTTATAAAAAATTAAGAAACCTTTGTACATTCTTTGATAAAACACCAACATGTTAGTTTTGGGGCATTAAATATTCTTCCTTTATTGGCCAATTCATTGCTAAATAAATCGCAAAAAAAACTAGGAAAATTTATAAAAATTAAGAAACCTTTGTAGATTTTTTGACAAAACACTAACATGTTAGCTTTGGGGATTGTTCCTTTATTGACCAATTCGTTGCTAAATAAATTGCAAAAAGAACTAGGAAAATTTAGAAACATTTGTCGAAAATGACTCATAGAACGTATCGTTTTGCTCTGTAGTTAGAATAAGGTGATGCGAAAAAGAGTTACTCGATGATGCCAAGCTGTCTGCCTTTTTCTTCTTCCCTGCCAAACATTAGCTAATCATCTGATTCGCGATTTAATTCGGGAGTTTGGCAATTGCGAATATCTTGCCAATGTCACGATGCATTAAGGTCAATGTCCTCGACGAGTCAGACCTCTGATTTTCTTATCTAACGGACACACATTCGCCAACAGCGAATAAAGAAACAGACGATACATCGATCGAACATTCGACGACGACTCGTGACATTTTCAAACGTATGCCGTTCAAAAATATTTGTTCCCATTGATCTTGCACAAATATCCAGCATACCTTTCAGATGTTACTTAAGAGTGTCATTAACGTGTTCACTGAGATACATAAGAACCGGATTGACCATCGACGTACGACTATTTTGCAACAATAATATTTGCGTAATATCGACTACTTTCGTTGGTCTTCTTTCCGCGCTGATTGATTTTGTAGAATAAAAATAGACTCTCGAAGGATCTCGGTTAACACCTCTAACAAAATATTATCGCCTGGAGATTGATTTATAAAAGTCGTAACGATTATACGTTTTTCTTGTTTTCAGATTGTTATTTCAATAAAGTAGTCACACCTTTTATTCCTGTCCGTCGATTTCCTGAATAAGCAACTGTTGCGTAACTTGTTTCGAAGAAATTTAAAATTGCCTGTAGAAACTGTAAATCGCACAATTTTACGATATACTTTTTATTGCTCCAAATTATTGTAACAAGTTCTTTTTATCGCTTAAGTTTTCTCATTCAAGGGTACAAAATTGTATGCTCGAACGATAGTTAATACATTCTATAAATACCGAAGATCATTTTAAACACGATTCTTATCAGTTATTTGTACACTTAACATTGTTTCTACAGCTGTTTTATGCATACCTATTTCGATCAAGAAATATCTTCTGACATCTTTACATTTGCATGCAAATAACTGTGGAAATAATTGTTATTTTTAATATTATCGAGGAAACATAACTGGAATTTAGAAAATAATTTCAAATTAAAATTTTTAAAGGTATCTTCAGTAGAAATAATATTAACAGATTTTATGTGAAATTATCCACACTGTCTGCTGACATTCCACTGTTTGCAGTTTATATTTAGCGTTGTTGTGTCAGCATCGAACTCGAATATTATCAGAAATATTACAGCGTCGTTGCTGTTTCTTTTTCAGGTATCCGTTTCTCGATGGACGTATCGCGAGACGAGGTGAAGGCTTTGTCTGCGCTAATGACTTTCAAGTGCGCTTGTGTGGACGTTCCTTTCGGCGGAGCTAAAGCCGGGATCAAGATTAATCCTAAATTGTACTCCGAACACGAGCTCGAAAAGATCACGAGGAGATTCACGTTGGAACTCGCGAAGAAAGGATTTATTGGTGAGAGTCCCGAATCTTAGGCCAGCTAAAAAAGAAAGACTAGACCCAGACCCATCAATCTTAATTTTATCTTTATAAGAATGTTTACGAAGACACTAAGTACCATATTTTCATCGTTATGTTTGATAATCCGTTTGTTTGCTCAGTTGGTCGCGATAAGATTTACTCACTCAAATAATTCGCACGTGCTGCCTATTATTTCGGTAATTGATTAATGCAATTTCTTTTACAAACGATTTAATCGAATCTATGAATTTGTTTAGGATAGATTTGGCACGTTCACAGTCCAATATGAAATTAAATTTTAAATTATTTCACATGTTACAATTCCTGCGTGTTATTTTTGACACCAGTTTACCCTATGAGATTTCGGATTCTACTTGATCCACATATCGGAGGACGTATGAGTAGGAAGTATGCTGACCCACATTTAGGTCAACGGACTGCGAACGTGTTAAAACTATTCGAAGGAGTAAACTTAGCGATTGGAAAAGTATTTAGATATTCTCGTTTAAATGGCCTACCCTGTATGCTGACTATGAAATTATTAAGTAAGACTGAGAAAGTATGTACACATTTTGATCCAAAGGGCCGGGTGTCGACGTGCCTGCTCCTGACATGGGAACTGGAGAACGAGAAATGTCTTGGATCGCTGACACTTACGCAAAAACCATAGGGCATTTAGATATCAATGCTCACGCTTGTGTCACTGGTAAACCTATCAATCAAGGTGGAATTCATGGACGCATATCCGCGACTGGTCGTGGTGTATTTCATGGATTGGAGAACTTTATCAACGAAGCCAATTATATGAGCATAATCGGTGTTGTATTTAAATATTATCGTTTCGTAATTGCTTCTTGTATGGTGTATGGAATCTATGAACTGGACCGATTTTAGGCACTACACCCGGCTGGGGAGGAAAAACATTCATCGTGCAAGGTTTTGGTAACGTTGGTCTGCACTCGATGCGTTACTTGCATCGTGCTGGCGCTACCTGTATAGGAGTAATTGAACACGATGGTGCTATCTATAATGAGGAAGGCATCGACCCTAAAGTAAGCAACGTCCTTGGTCCGTAAATAACGTGTAACACCGATGATGTAATATCTTTAATGGGATTCGTTCGTTCTCTAGCTACTGGAAGACTACCGTATTGAAAATGGGACTATCGTGGGCTTTCCTGGTGCTAAGCCATACGAGGGTGAAAATCTGATGTACGAACCTTGTGATATATTTATACCCGCCGCTATCGAGAAAGTTATTAACAAAGACAATGCTGGACGTATTCAGGTATATTTTCTCTTTGATCTGTATACGTTATATTTTTTTGTTTTTACGATTGTTCATTTCTTTCTTTGTGCATAGGCTAAAATTATAGCCGAAGCTGCTAATGGGCCAACCACCCCGGCTGCCGATAAAATTTTGATCGATAGAAATATTCTCGTCATACCAGATTTATACATGAACGCTGGTGGTGTTACGGTATCTTTCTTCGAATGGTTAAAGAATTTGAATCACGTGTCATACGGTCGACTTACTTTCAAATACGAAAGGGAATCCAACTATCACCTGTTGGGTATGTTCTTGCATCGTTAGCACGATAATGCAATACTTTCTAATTAAATCGATGGTATTATGAATACATTCATGTGTTTCTGTAGAATCTGTACAAGAGTCGCTAGAACGCAGGTTTGGCCGTGTCGGTGGCCGAATTCCTGTTACACCTTCCGAAGCGTTCCAGAAACGTATCTCCGGTGCTTCCGAAAAAGATATTGTTCATTCTGGTTTGGACTATACGATGGAAAGATCCGCTAGAGTAAGTGTGTTACATTTTGTTCAACTGGCAAATAACTTCTTGTATTATTATTAACTTTGTATGCTACCTTCGTATTTTTTACAGGCTATCATGAAAACTGCAATGAAATTCAATCTTGGCTTGGACTTGAGGACAGCAGCTTACGTTAATTCGATCGAAAAGATATTTACAACTTACTCCGAAGCAGGTCTCGCATTTTAAGTATGAAATATCAGAGTATAAAGTAAATTACATAAATCTAGGTCACTAATGTGGCGACCGTAAGAAATTATGAGCCAGTATTTTAAAAACTTTCACGATCTCTCACAGCTGGTGCTGTCCAGTCACACTGACAAAAGACCAAAACTAGCAGTGAAAATATTTCGTGCACAACGTGATAGGTTTCTCGAATGCATTGTAATAGTTTGCCTAATAAATTCCTTCGCACGCACGTGTCCACGTAAATACAGGTATATGTGCGTGTACGAGAAAGTGTATTAATCAGACACTGCTATTCAAAGTGGTGTCTAAAACAAAAGTATTCACAACTTTACTCTGCAATACGAGTACGAAATCGATCGATACAACGTTAGTGCATTTTTATATTTCACTTGTTATCCAAATGTATCTTAATGTTTAAATAGATTCATACAGGAGTCGTTAAGCCGAATAATTGTAAAGTATAATTACCTCGGACAGGCAATTTCTCCGTAATGTATCTATAAGAAACACTTTAAAAGATGTCATTTATAACTGAGACTCATTTCTATTAAATCAAGGAGGGCGATGTCATACAACATTGTTATACATTTCAAGAGTATATCAATAAATATGTGCTCTTATTCAATTTTGTTCTTATTATTCGACCCTCTCATTTTGCGTTCCACGCTCGTTTGCTAATTTTGTGTAAAAAGTACGCGTGTACTCGTAACTATGGATATAGGTATTTCAAATTTGAAAAAATATAAATATGTCAAGTATGGAACTATTACAGAACAGTTTTTTCAATTTATAACGAAATAAATCTTCTCAATTATATGAGAGGAAAAGTATGTAAATAACACCGGCTGCCATTGATGTGTACCTTCGCAGCGTAGGAGATTTTTAAAAAGATGACCGCTGTGGAAAGCATCATCACTTAGACGCAACTCTAGAGTGTGGCTTAACGAACAAGGGGACTCTTTGAAAAGGTTTCCGCTGCCACTCACTGGAGATAGATAATACATGGCATACCCAGCAAAAAGAGTCTTAACAAAGCTCAGGGGCTGTTGTCTCTGATTTGCGCTACACATCTGGCGTTGGCAATAGTAAAAACTGGAACTTAATACAAAACAAGACGGATCCACGCGACCTCAGGAGGCCTGAGAGATCCCATTCAAGTTGGGGATCGCATAATGTGCCAGATTTGCCTACACAAAAACCTGCTGGAGTTGGGGTAGGGCAACAACCGCTTGTCCTCCGATCAGCGTACTCACGGTGAGAACGTTGGCATCGCCACCGATGCCTTCGGAGGAAGGGGGAGATTTTGTTTAAACACAACGCTGATCAAGAAGGTACATGACAGCCTAAATAACAATTCAACTACCAAAGTTAAGTTTGGGTATTGGACTGGATGATAGAAACGGACAGTAGAAAAGGAAAGGAGAGGAGCGTTTAGTCCCGGGCCTGTTACTGAACTCATTAGTAAGGCACTCATTAGTATGGCCTGCTTTAGACACCGGGATATTGGATAGTCGGTCGAGGAGTGTCTATACAAGTACGGAAAGGTCAGTCGAGCGTTTGCGAGAGAGTGACCCCTCTGGTGGCGAGTACGGGAGGTGACGCCACAGTAACATCGAGTACATTTCTATTAAGAGCAGTTTAGACGAATTTCAATTTGTAGCAAAGACTCCAATTACCGAGTCTTTTCAAACAACTATCATTTCGCGGACCATAAATTACGAGATACTGCTATATAATACAACGAAACATCTATCTTTTTGCTACAAGTGAACGTGTCAGGATCCCTTAAACTATGTACAATTTTGAGCCGCGTACTAAATATAGGAGCATTGCAAATTCTACAGGTTTAACGCGCGTGTATATAGAACGTATAATGCCTGAATATTTTTGTCATCGTTATGCAACGTCTAAGATCCACACGTGCCGTTACACATGCTGTTTCAAATATTTCTATAATAAGTTTCATGATATATCAATTAAATTATAAAAAGAAAAAATTGTGACCAACACTACTCATCATAGCAAATTGCCGCTACATAATAAAACCAATTCTTCTTGACATTATACGTACAAAATAATAGTGATTTCTTTTTCGTTCGAACGTTTGCCCTGAATGTTCGATAAAAATTAACTTCGTTGGTTTCGTATAAGAACGTTAAAAAATGCTAACCATCGCGTGTTATTGCTTATGGCAGAATGGTTGGCCGGCTACATATTTTCCTATACTACTAGTTAGGGTGGCGGCCGTTGTATAAAGCGTATGGCATCGCGACGTTGCCTTCATTTGACTTGTTAGTTCTTTCAACGGCACGCAACAATCAACACAAGGTGACTACGTGTTTCTCACTTCATATTTCATTTTTTTCTTCACGATCGCATGTTGGAAAAATTTGGAACGAGACATCACGTTGCCGGATGCAAGTTTCATTGAATGAAACTCGAGTATCTTGTTACTATTCTGACATCCAGCTTCTGGAATATCGCACGAATCTACCGAAAACCCGGTAAACACAGACTAATCGATCAATTAAGTACGATGATAACGTTTTATGTTAACGTTTTCGAAATTACGATTTGATTAAAATTAGAGTACAAAATATTTATAGAACGATGATGTTCAGATCGTGTGACCAATGTGCACAGTCGTTTAAACGAACTATTTCATTTTCAGAAAACGATTACTTTCCAAAAAATGATTAATACTTTTCGCTAGTCAAATTTTGCTTCGTTCTTGGCACATATTTGGGCATATTCATGAGAGTTTCATGTTTCATTTCTATTTCCTCTGCTGTTAGGTTTTATTTAATCAATTAATGTAGGTGGCGAAATTCGAATCCCGAGTGAGCCCCATTGAATCTATTCCTATGGCAACTATAAGCAATGGGAACGGATCAACGATACACGTCAATACGCGACCGGATGATATACAAAATCGCATCATTGGCGGTAAGTGATTCAAAACTAAACGTTATCGATGGGGTAGAGATCCGTGATGCAATATTTAATCGCAAGAAAATCGCACGAGTGAAGGTAGATGTTACACAAAAATTGACCAAGTATAAGCAAATCTTTGAATTGCAATAAGATATATAAGATTGTAAACAAAATCAACTGTACTTGAATTCTTGTCGATCTGTATACACGTTTGGTTTATATGGTTTAATTCTCTGTAAAATGTGTCAAATTGTTCGCTATTAAGATTTTTGTGAGCGAGAGTGTTCACGCTTACGTGTACGTGGCATTAAATTTGGCTGAATCGAAGTATCCATACCGCAATCGAGCCGAGTCTGGTGTAACATGAAATATTACTTAAGTGTAAAGAAGGTCAAATTTTTCTTTATGCGCCGTAAGTAATGTATCGCATTCACGAGAACGTTAAAGGTCATCAATCATTTTACAACACTTCGCATCCTTATTCATTCAATAACATCGCGTATTAAACAAACACGGTCACCGCGAACATTTTACCCCGGATAAACAACTTGGACTTAGTATTTAAACGATCATAATCGATATCATAATAAATTATGGGCTTTTAGTTACAACGTTGATACACGAACGCTTCGTAAATGAGTAGTTAAATAGATTAAGTAGAAACGGTCTGTTATAATGCAGACCCACGTTTCGAAGAAACTGATAACAACCCGTTCTTTTTCCTATTGCCAATAGTAGTTCTTTACCTTATACAGGTGAACTTGAGTTGTATAGCATTCACCTTGCATATAGATAGCAATGGTTGAACTACAAATACGTCTCGCAAGTTATTTCTAAGAATAAATCGATAGAAATATCTCGGGTAAAATTACAATATGCCTACGACTACGAAGTACGATTATAGATACGATAGGAATGCACAGCGATTATATATTTGGGATTAAAGAGTTGATATAATTTTGCTAAATTTCTTTTTTATGCATTTCGTTTAAACAGTTTCTGATAAAAAAAAGAAAGAAACACGCAGTTTGGATGATTTTGTCGTGCAGAAGTACCGTGTACATTGTATTCAAAACACGCAATTCCGCGTTGTCGTTTCACGTATAAACACCGAACCTGATTTATTATTTATGAAGTGCATTTTCGAAAAAAAATCGTCGCGTGAAAATCAGTACGATAAATTTTCTATCGATAATAAGATCTTCAAGCGATAAAATCAATATTATTTATGAGCAAAGGATAAACCTTTCTAAAGGATGTTCTTAGGAAGAAAACTGGTCGTACGATTTGTTGAACCAACATTCGAGATCCAATCTCTCGTTGGCTAGACGATTGCTCTGAACTGAAAGCAAGCTACGAGCAAGCTCTTTTCCAAACCCAACAGAAAATTGATGACTACATAGAAATATCGTCCCCCGATTCCACGAAAAAAAAAGCGATAAGGGAACGAACGAAATGGAACAACTAGGGAAAACTAAGGGTAAGAGAGAGAGAGAGCAGAAAAGAGTGGATGTGCGCATTTCGCGCATGCTGCTGCGATTAAAAAGATAAAAGGAGATGGAGAGAGCGAGGACCTTCCATGTGGGTGGTTAAACATAGGCTGGGTACCGTGTGACGCGAATAACACGTTGGAGTTCGAGTTCCCATTGCGTCATTTCGTTCCCCTGTGAAACAACCCTCTTGGTTTTCCACAATTCAGAGATACTTCGGTGGATTCCTGTGATTCACGCTCGATTGTCAAATCGAGTATAATAATCGCTTCGAAATGACGGCCGGTAAGCGGACTCTACGGCTTATGACCTACCGGAACTCCTACTCGTCGATAGAGGCATTGATTATTCCTTGTAATGTTCGTTTGTCGAAATTCGTGGCTAGTTTTCAATCACAGGTAACGTGACCTCTTAGGTTCTTCGTATGCACCCACGATTTATTGCCTATTGTAATTATTACAAGATATGTTATTATTTAGAGCACAGAACGTTGTATAAAAAAATAAAACATTACCTTATCGGCAAGTTCCGTTTCAATCTATCGCTTTTATCAAGCAATAAATTTTCGAATGTAGGTTGTACACACAATATGTGTATATCGATCTGTGCGTTAATAGGCCGAAGGTATTTATAAAATCAATAGCAAAACTCAGCATAGTCATAAAGATGCCTGTGTTGTCCTTCTAATAGCAAACAATTTAATTTAGATATCTGATTAAGTGGAGGCTCAAGACGCGAGCCAATTATCGTTCAAGTGTAACTGAATTCGTAAAAACACAACAGTTTATCTCTTTCGGATCTAAACCACTTAAGTATATAAATCAGTTGCGATACTAAAAACAGAGGGCTCGTTGTTGGAGAATGTTAATTTTTCATTCGATGGAAGATAGCCAAAGATAAAATATTTCAACGAGAGCACTTAATAATAGAAACGCCCATTAGGTATATGGAAAACGGGAAGCAAATTATCAAACGCAAGAAATCGCATTAACTCGGAAAATTTATGGATCAAAGCGTGTTGCTCTGCAGTTCTACAAAGAGTAGAATAAAATATTTCATTGACTCGACCTGTTTGACCTGAATTTTTATTCGTAAATAGTATAAAACCCTGGCTCGGAAAATTCGATTGGCCAACAAAGGAAATCTCGTTGTTTTGTCAATAATGTTTTTAAGAGTACCGAAGAAGAATGCTTAAAAATAGGTAACAAAGCACTATTCTTGTAGCCGGGCTAAGTGATCCTCGATTATCTTCCGTTCAAGTAGACACTTATTGCGATACTTTAACCTGAATATACTCGAAGATGCCTAGTCTCCTCATTGACTAGGTCAAGTAAATTAAACGGTCCAGTATTATTTTATCCGGAGAAAGTAACACTAGAAGTCGTTTTACACTCCGTTCAATGGCTTTAACGATAATTCGATAATAATAGTAGTCTGTAATCAAAGAATGAAGATTTCTAATCAGATGTACAAAGTGTTATTGAGAGTGGCTAAAAGTGACCAAATAACGTTTCCATGTTTCAGCGGAAGACAGTATACAAGAGGACACTAATACCTGCAGAAATATTTTGGTGGCACTGTCATGGGTTATCGTGGTCTTAACGATGCCATTTTCTCTGTTTATCTGCTTTAAGGTAAAATACAAACATCTATACTTACTTTCGTTCCTTTGGCAAATATTCAATCGATGATTTTACTTTTCTTTTCAACGTATCACGCAAGAAGAAATATCATACCTTTATCTGATTCTATTTTCGTCCCTTGGGTTCGTTGTAAGCATTTTCGGTGTCCTCTAGCGATGACTAGAACTGCTACTTGTGAGTCACCAGTCATTTGATCACGTTCGTTTTTAATTACAGCATAGCATGCCTGCATAAACATAACAGAAATTGTTAGCACTTTTACACTATTATTTAAATAAATAATATTACGATGTTGACGTCGAGAAGAAGAATCAATATTTTACCTTTCGTAGGGCTTCGATTGAATTATTTTTTATTTGTAATATTAAATTATATAATTACACGCAGAAATCGTAGAGTAATTAAAAATTTATATTATATGCTAGTTATATTGAAGTATTTTATAAAAAATAATTTAATCAAGATCAAAAATTGCAATTTTGCGATCATTGTGATAAATAATGATTAATGATTTTACACGATATCTCTAATGTCTTCATTTAATGATTTTACACGCTATCTCTAATGTCTGCATTTTGTTTGCATTTTGCTTCCTGTTATTCCGCTTTCCATGGTCGCCTTATAATTAGATGACCGATCGTTCATCGTTCCGTATCGTTTATCCGTCCTGCAAAATATACCACCGATAAATTACGCCCTCCGCATTACGATCTTTACTTATACAGCGAGTGCAGTACCATTTTATGTGCAGTACCACGAATGTTTAGTCGACCTATCGACCTATCGACTAGATACAAATGTATTTTGTCTTGAATAGCTTTGTACGATTATTGACAAAATGGAATTCTTCAAGTATTCCACGAAGTTAAACGATTTAAGTTCCAATCAATAATAGTCTTCGTACGAGGATACCTATGCAGTTGAAAATATGCATCAAATTTTATTGTATAATTTCTTTTTGAATTTGCGTACAATGTAAAGTTTATTATGGGTTAAAACCCACCTTCCAACGGTTAACACCTCACCACGGAAATTGTATTTTCTAGGTAGTGCAAGAATACGAAAGAGCTGTGATATTTCGTTTGGGACGTCTTCTCTCAGGCGGTGCTAAAGGACCTGGTAAAATCTGGAATTTCTCAACTCAATTATAAATTCGTGGTTGATACATCGATACGATAAATTATTGAATTTCTAGGTATTTTCTTTATCCTGCCTTGCGTGGACAATTATGCTCGCGTCGACTTACGAACGCGGACATACGACGTTCCGCCGCAAGAGGTAAATCGATACAAGACGAGCACCGTATTGCATTTGTATTCCGACGAGAACGCGAAATTAACATCAATTCTTCTGTCACCAGGTGTTGACGAAAGACAGCGTGACAGTGTCCGTCGATGCAGTGGTGTACTACCGTGTAAACAACGCGACAATTTCAATAGCGAACGTCGAGAATGCTCACCATAGCACCAGACTACTAGCACAGACCACGCTCCGGAACACTATGGGAACCAGACCGCTTCACGAGATTCTTAGCGAGCGCGAAACTATTTCCGGAAACATGCAGGTAACCGCTTTCACCGCAGACGTTTTTACAGTTTAGAGGCAACAAATCTTTGACGATGATATTTTGATCGCCAGGTGTCTTTGGACGAAGCTACCGACACATGGGGAATTAAAGTCGAACGCGTCGAAATGTATGTACGCGTGCAATAATTGAGAACTGTTACATGTACATTTATTTCATTTTTTTACTATTAGATCTAGAAGTTAATTTGATAAATGTTTTATATGCAATATCTGACAATGGTGCCAAAGCTATCTGTCTGTTTTACGTGTTTTTTAAATTTCTTTTGTAGCAAAGACGTGAGGCTGCCGGTCCAGTTGCAGAGAGCCATGGCTGCGGAGGCTGAAGCTGCTCGCGAAGCTCGCGCAAAGGTTCGTCTTTCGCTACTTTTCACAATAAAGAGAAAAGGGAATAATCGTGTTTCACGATGCTGGATATGATTCGAGCTATCCAGATCGTGAACACTTCTGAGGGTCGTCCAGAAAGTAACACCTGTTTAAATATAGAGGCCATATAAAATAGTTCACTCTTTGCGGCACAGGATTTCAGATAATAAAATAGACCTATGTTGCATAGAAATTTTATTGCGTTTTAAATTAAATAAAATTGGTATATTTCTATTCATAAAAGAATCACATAATGTAAAAACAAAAAAATTGTAATAGTTGAATTAAATTTGTCGCAATAAACCTTCCGCATGGAACAATTGATGAACCTGTATTGGCATGTTGAATGTTGTCAATACAAGTGAATACATTTTTAACATTTGTTGAAGATATTACCAACTGCTTTACGTAAATAAGACGAAATATAAACCTATGTGCATACAGCTATTGCAATATTTCGAGGTGGGACTAAAAATGTCCCACCATGTATTACGGTGCATCAAAAAGGTGGGACAATTTTAATCCCAGCGTGCCCCAAAGAGTTAAACGTGCTTATACATATCCATAGAAACATTTTAATAGGAGATTCTAGAGGGCAAATTAAGACGAAAATCAAGAATACCAATTTGTTGATTGAGGCTTCGTTAAAAAGTTATTAACTTTTAAAGTTCCGCCTGTAGAACAGCAATTTGCGAACAGCTGCATACGCGTGACAGTGGTTCTCACTCTATAAGGCTGCCGATACGTCAGTAAGCAGAATTTCTCATGCTGAGTGAGAACCATTACAGATGCACGCAGGCTGTTCAGGTTGCCGTTCTACAGACGGAACTTTAAACGTTAATAACTTTTTAACGAAGCCTCGATCAACAAATTGGTATTCTTGATTTTCATCTTATTTTGGCCTCTAGAATCTCCCATTAAAATTGTTCCCAGAAGTGGCCGAACACCCTGAATAGTCAGGCATTTTTTAATATCGCCAACAGTCTCGAAGATGTTTCATCACTTCGTGTACATTTATTAACTGTTACAAAACTTTATTACATTCTAAGCGACCCTCGTAGATACATCAATGCAATCGATGTACAAAAATAATATCTCATTATCTTTTACAGGTGATTGCAGCTGAAGGAGAGCAGAAAGCTAGCCGCGCATTGAGGGAGGCTTCGGAGGTTATAGGAGATTCTCCTGCCGCGTTGCAGCTTCGTTATTTACAGGTACGTATCTACTATTCATGTACTTTCTATTACATAAATACTCATTGCCCTGTTTTATTTGTTTCAGACTCTGAACACTATTTCGGCAGAAAAAAATTCGACGATCGTATTCCCGTTGCCTATCGATCTACTTACTTATTTCATGAAAGCGGGTGTCGCGAAGGACTCTTAATCGCGATACGATCTATTATCTTTAAACACTTCGCGAAACTGAAAAATCGTAATAATCGTCAGAGTTACTGAAAACTCTCTGCTCAAGGAAATTGAATTTTTCGTTTCTTTACCGATTTCGAACCGATACATTTGAGTCAATTTTTGATGTACAGCGGGAGTCGCCAATATTTGACAAATTAGACTTTCGACCATACGGTACATTTACAGACTATACAATTAAACGATTTTCGAAGGAAGTGATTCACAAATACACCCACAAGAACTCGGTCAATTTCTCGGAAATTCTTTCGATCTAATGTTATCATATTCATGAACCAATCGTGAACCGATTCTTGCTAATGCAAAAAACTATCGCACTATCACCGCACATCAGTTGACTAACGACTAATTTTCTAACACTCTGTAATCTTTTTAAACTTTCACTCGTATTTTTATAACTTATTTATTTATTTTACTCGCAGGTACGCAACCTGTAGTTTATACAATTGCAATTTATAATAAGAACAATAACTGAAAGAGAAAAGAAACAAAAATACAGTGGTTAAACGCGAGGCACAACTGTGATTAATACTATGTTAAACGAGGTATAAAACCCTAAAAATTAGATACTCATTGTAGCAGTTGGCCTTGTTGCACATTCCAGTGATCGAAAACGGAATTTCGATATATCAAAAAACTAATCGAAATTTATTTTGAATTTTCACGTATAATAATAAATTATCTTATAAGCGAAAAGAACCAAATTTACAATTACACCAAGACATTTACATTTATATTAAGTGTAATTAATGCACTATCCATTTGCTAGATACCTCGGTAGTTTATTTTCCTGCGATATAAAGTCTGACTGTATGTTTTTTTATGCGAAACAACACATGTAAACTGTGCTCAAATGTAGACTACATATTTGGATGGCGATAAAATATTCGTTTCGTCGTCGATATGGAATTAATCGTCTTAACGATCAATTAAAATGTACAGTGAGCGTTGTTCGTGTGTTTCGGTAATTAAACGGCCTTTAACGAATTTTGGTCTAACATCGGCAACTCTTTCCGATAACTATACGAATAATGTGTTCCGTTAGACATGAAATTAACGTAAACGTAAATAAGAAATATTAAAGATCAATGAACGATATCACTCTTACCCATTCGATCATCGTAAAACGTTGTACGTCAAACGAAAATGAAAATGGAAAGAACTCTCGAGGACTGAATCTTTTAGCTAATTTGTAGTTGATCCTGTTGTGTAAGGAAGATGAAATGAATGTATATCGGGGTGTTGAAACATATTCACTTCCACTTATATGTACGTGTATTAAATTCTTTCCTGATTAATAGAGAAGCGAGGGGAGTTCATCTTAGATTACAATAGAAAGTAATTGATCGATTACATGCAGGTGATACCTAATCGTAGAAATCGAACTATTACCGCATCAAGTATATTTAATATCGTCTTTCTCTTTTTACAATGTACGCGTTCAACTGAAGTTCTACATTTTCTAACGATAAGAACTAAATCTACCTCTGTGTTGCGTATATGCTTCTATTTCTACTTGTGATACTATATTACGTTAATGTAGTATAACTTTTTAATCGATCTGTACTACCTGCGAACTTTCGCGGGCGACTAAAGAACTGACATGTTTGCGAAACTTTGTTAACCATGTTTTCTCTTCTAGCGACGTTAACGTTTCTATTTTGATTAATTTATTACAATCTCGAGTGTACGTTAGCCCCGTAAAACGTTCAACGTATGATAACAAAAAGCGACCGAACCTACTTCACCAAACATGTCAATCCTTCTATCGACTTAAATGTGTGCGAATAAAAACTGAAATTGTATTTTGTTATTTCATTTTCCTTTCGCATTACGTGTAACAATTATCAATTTAAATTTATCTTAATTTCGTCGTGCACGGCTGTTGCACATAATTCAAGCAGAACCCCCGGTTTCCGACGTCGTTTGGCGCTTCGATGCTGTCCGTATGAAAAATTAATCTAAATGGTTTTACTGTACCTGAGAAATAGTTATACATTATGCACGTTCTATGTCGACGTGAAATGCCACGTTTCAAAGTTTACAACACAGCTGTGCTTGCAATTTTAACTAACTATGAAGTCTCTTTAAAGTAACAAGGAGAATGCAAGACCTTCGGGTCACCGATTTAACTAAAACTTTCTAAAACTTTCTGATAAATTTCGATACCATCTTTACGAAAATATACCATTACAGGGCCAGAAATTTAATATTTTACTAGTTATTTACGTTTATAATTTTTCAATACTGTTGAGAACTTTGTCTATAAAATAAATCGACAATAAATATTATTTCCTTTTTAATCTTACTAATAATATTAAAATATGTTCAATAAAAGTAAAGTGTGAGTAATAAAAAAAGCATATAGAATGAATTTTTAATTGAAATACATCAAAAAGTGCACGTACCATTTGTTGAAATTAATTAGACTGTACATGAAAATATCTATAAATGTTTAATGAATTTTGTTGTAAATATATTTCCCTACATAAATATGTTTTTATTTGCAGTAGGTTTTTAAATCTTGCGCTCTCCTTGCAAGTTTAAAATACGCAATTTTAAAATACGTCCATTCTCAAACAAAGAACGAAACAAAAGATAAATCAAGAGAGAATATAAGAAACATTGTATAAATTATTGGGACTCTGGGTTGTCAACAGTGTGTGTGTGGTTTAGGAGGTGTGAAAGGTACATTGTTTTAGAATTTTGAACGGAAAAGACTGTGGTAACCAAAGACAAGTGTTTAATATTAGAGAACGTTTAAGTAGCTAAGTTAGTTTAATATCAGAAGAGTGTGATTTTTAGTTCTATTATACAGAGTGTTCTGCCATCTTTGAGAAAAATTTTAATAGGAGATTCTAGAGACCAAAATAAGACGAAAATCAAGAATAATAATTTCTTAAATGAGACTTTGTTATAAAGTTATTAAAAAATTAAATTAAAAAAATTCAAATTATTCTGAAAAAATGATTTTTGGTTGCGGGAATCAATTACAATTATTTTTGGTCAATAGGCATACCCCCCAAATCCTAAGCACTTTCGAGAAAAAAATTTGAGTAGGTGGAGAAATATTTCGACAAAATTAAAAAATTAGAAAATATACTGCGTGACCGGAAACGTTACCCCGAAATTTCATGCGTATGTTTAAAAAATCGTAACATCTGAACACATTGAAGAATTTTAATGATTCAAAATGCAAATATGTAATGCGTATTAATGGAGCTCTAGAGCCCCAGAATAATGGGCTGAAAAAATACATTGCATGTAAGGTCTAGTCGTATACCTCGTCTGTGGTGTGAACTACTATCGCTTGCACGCAGCTGTTCGCAAATTGCTGTTCGACGGGCGAAACTTTAAGGGACCATTCTACCTTGAAGGCGCGAAAAATACATGTTTTTTTGTGATTTTTTTGCGGGCTATTAAAGAGCGATTAATTCCGTGTTTTGTAGATACATTTATTATATATTTAGCTATATTTACGAATTCTTGCAACGCATAATATCTATTGATTATGTTTTACGCTGTTTTTGTTGATCAACAAACAACAGTTTTTACAAACGGCGCCTGACTGTGTATGTGATATCTTGCGAACAAGTTATCCGAAATCCAAAAACCAACGATATTCTTAATGTAGATGAGTGTGGTTATAGCATGAACTAGGATCTTTTCAAAAAAACAAAAAATGGCAAAATGGCAGCTATTTTACGAAAAAATACTAAATATTTTCATATATTCGGTTGCTTTTTTGTTAATAAAAGAAGAATTATTGCATATATTGCAATTATCCTAGTTCATGCTAAAGGGAGACCAGTTCTAAAGATACTGCATAAATTTTATGTTGATATCTTGAATAGTTTTTTCATTATCATATACGCAGTGCCGAAAAATGTAGTTTCAAATTTTGTTAGTTTTTCAAATTTCAATTTACTATTTGGTAGATATATTTTTGAGACTACATACTAAAAGAAAATGCAAAAAAAATTAGATTTTTTAAATCCCACAAGGTAGAAGGGCCCCTTAAACGTTAATAACTGTTTAACGAAGTCTCAATCAACAAATTGATATTCTTGATTTTCGTCTTATTTTGCCCTCTAGAATCTCTCATTAAAATTTTTCCCAGGGGTGGCCGAACACCCTGTATACTGTATTTTTTTGCTTTGTATTTTTATTTGTTTCATCTGAAAAAATTAATAAACTATCAACAAAAAATACTTACTAACGACAGAAGAAGCATTCAACATTTGATTCTCCGCGTTGAAAGTGCCGCCACAAATTCGATCGACACATGTCATCATGGCGGTCGGCATTCTGCCCAGATTCGATGCACAAGGGATCGTTAACCAATCGGTCTGACAAGCAGCTCCTGTCATCGACGCGATTTGAGTTCCTTGCGTGTTCCCCGTTAACGTAAACGCATTATTGCGTGTCATTTGCGCTGCTGGAGTTGCACCGCTTAACAAAGCTCCTTGACCTTATCATTGAACGTCAAAAACTCATTATAAATATTAATGTGCAGTTTAAAGATTATCAAACTCGTATATTGATTAAACTTGAAAACTCGGTTTGATCAGCATGTTCTCGACCATATGCGCAATTCTGTATCGTTAATTAAAAATATTCCCACTTAGTTTATTTTCAGTATTAAATATTATTTTCGTTCTTACCATCAACCGGGCATGCCGTGTATTGAATGCCACAAAAGTTTCTTTCCATTCGTATACAAATACTATAGTCCTGGTTAGATAACTGTAATCCGGTGTTAGGATCATAATTGAATGATTTTATTTGTCCGGATATGCCTGTAAAATATTGCAAACAGCCTTCCTCGGCTCTGTACAAAGTATTGCAACGGATCTGAGACACTCGGACTTTCCATGATCGAGCAAAAGAACTTCCGCTCGTCACAAACGTTAACGTCACAGGATTCGTTTGTCCGAGACCAGCATCCACATAGACTGTACAATAATCACATTTACCACACGAACAAAATATCGTAAAGTCTCTTATAATCGAATGACTACATACTATGATTCCCGCTATTACTACCGCATATAGTGGGGACCGGGTTGCCCCCAGAAACGATAAATTGATCATAGATACATTGGTGGTTAGTCGTTTCCGGTCCTCTGATATTAAGTTCCACGAAATCCAGCCTGAAAAATACACAAATATTAATTAATTTTATCGAAGGAAGGAGCAACAGAGATGAAACAGTAGCTCACCTAAATTGACATACATCTGGATGCGATTTAACAACCGTCAACTGACAAGATTCCGTGCCGTCGAATGTCGACGGATAATTCGGATTAACGAAGTAAGTATTGTTATTAGTAGTCGTTTCGCCGCAAGACATAGTTACTGATACAAAGAAATAATTATTAATAATCTACTTTCAAAGCCACTAAGCCACTCTACTTTAAGCCAAATACTTCTTCACTTTGGGTGATCATCCACAGTGAAGACAGAAGATGATCTCGACGTTTGTGCTGATGATACTTATCCATAGCAAACGCAAGATGCTTATTAGTTTTCAAAATGTTGACGAATAAAGTGGTGGATGTTGGAATTGAGTTAATAAATTTGGCCTTGCACACGAGTGTCGCAAAATATTAGAGAAAATAAAAACCGTCGACTTCATTAACAAAAAGTAAATAATAAATTTACCAATACAACAAACTCCGTAACCGTTTGCACAAATCCCACTGGAGATACCTCCGCGTTCCGAGCACTCTGATGTCGTCATACAAGTACCATTCTCGCCGGTTAATCCGAAGCAAATATTATTATCAAACTTCACCACGGTGAACAAAGGAAAAACTATAATTAACAAGCATACGAAATTATACAACTTAATTACATGCTGTTAAAAGAAAAGAAGGTTTACACTTACGTCGCTTTTCTCTGCTAGCGTAAGTTGATGTGTCATTTTGGATGTTGATCGATTGTAATTTACTCTTTGACGGATCCCGCGATAACAACTCATTCGCGTGAATGTTATTTGTTCGCCAAAAGTGTGTAAATCTTCTCAGAGCATTCCACGCGTCAACATCGATATACGTAACAAGGATACATAGTAGAAGTGTAATCGAATAATAGCTACGCATGGTCATACGTAATCTTATCAATGTCGTTAACCAAAATCCCGTTAAAGATGACACGGCGATTTAGTAATGTTTTCGATGAATTTCAAAGTTTTAGTGGGAGATGCCTCCGCTTGTATCGAAACCACGGAATCACACAGCGATTGAACTACGACTGACAAAAAAGAAAAGTGCAAACAATAATATACCATGAGATGTTTACACGGTCTGCATATCACGCGGTAAATTAAGGGTTGCGGCTGGATTATTTTAGCCAAGTATTCGTTTGTAAATAGACAGAGTGAAAGTCGAGAAATTTTATTAACGACAAACTCGTAACACTCAACCGTTGTGTTCATCGTTTGTGTCGAGACAACAATTATACTGTCACAGTTGTAATTATGACACGGTAAGTGAAAGAATCCTCTTAGCTAGGGCAAGCAACTATACATAGAAACAAGAGCCCCACATTCTCGGTTCAGTCGCTACTTTCATTGGATGACATTGCACATTGAACTCAGTTCATTAGGAACTATTAGAATTTTTTAAAAAGTGAGCAATCAGAGCAATAACCATCCTCCGAAGAGTTTACAATTAGTGAACACTGACCAATTAGATCAGACAACATTTTTCAAATATTCATTTTAAAAGAAACTTAACTAAAACTAAGAATTATTAATACAGGGTGTTCGGCCAACTCTGGGAAAAATTTTAATGGACGATTCTGAAGGCCAAAATAAGACGACAATCAAGAATACCAATTTGTTGATGGAGGCTTAATTAAGAAGTTATTAACATTTAAAGTTCCGGCCGTACTGAATTTTTTTCTCGAATATGCGCAGGATTTCGGGGGTATATCTACTCACCAAAAATGATTGTAATTGACCCCCGCAACCGAAAATAATTTTTCCAAAACGATTTGAAATTTTTTTTTCGCCGAAAAATTTTTACACCTTACCGAATTTTTTTCTTGCAAGTGCGTAGGATTTCGGATGTATGTGTATTCACCAAAAATGGTTGTATTTGAACCCAGAACCTAGAAATAATTTTTTTAGAACTATTCGAAATCTTTTTTTTCGTCGAGTAGACTACCCACTGTCGATTTTTCTTAAAAATTTGTTTTTCATTTTTAATAAATTTGTATGACGTTATACGGAAATATTGTCTAATACTTTTTTGTAGGTACCCATGAGCTCTACTTGAGAAAAAAGTTTCATTCAAATATATTCACTATTGTAGGAGTTATGGCTGTTTGAAAATTGGACCATTTTTATGGGGTTTTTCTCATTTTGTGGGATCAAGGAACAACTTTTCGAATATTCTTGGAATATCTGCATATTCTACACTAAAATACGCATTGTTTGTCGTTTGAAACATTAAAATCGTCCAATCGGTTCAGAAGTTATGACATTTTAAAGATTTGCATGAAAATTCGGGGAAGCATTTTTTGGCCTCGCATTAGATTTTCGGTAAGGAATTTTTTTCTCGAAAATGCGTAGGATTTCGGGGGTATGTGTAATGACCAAAAATGATTATAATCGACACTTGCAACCAAAAATAATTTTTTTAGAACGATTTGAAAAGTGTTTTTTCGCCGAAAAGCTTCAGCAGATGCCCGAATTTTTTTCTCGAAAGTGGGTAGGGTTTCGGGGATATGTGTATTCCACAAAAATGATTGTAATTGATCTCCGCAACCAAGCATAATTTTTTTAGAATGATTCGAAAGTTCTGAAATTAATTTTTTAATAACTTTTTAACGAAGCCTCAGCCTAGAAATTGATATTCTTGATTTTCGTCTTATTTTGTCTTATAGAATCCCCCATTAAAATTTTTCCCAATGTTGGCCGAAAACCCCGCATACTTTTTATATCACGTTTACCATATGTCCGTTCGTATAATAAATATGGATCATTACAAATTATTTTATTTCACGTTATTTTATTACATTGTTGTTACTTTGGTTTTCCTAAATCGATTATTGAAACTTTATCTCCCAATTAATTCGAATAATCGACAAAGTGAGAATTGCAAAGTGTCCGTATATTAAAATTCAATAATCAATATTGTAATTAATAACACCTTTGTAAACCATGTTTTTTCTCTTTCTGCTAGTATAACAAATGGCGAAACATGCTCTTAAATGGAAAATAAACCTCAACGGATACGCAAGATGCTTCGGCTGATACACGGGAAAGTGAATTCTCTAAACTGTTTACTAAACGTTTTTCACCATGGTCTGTAGGTTCCAAGATACGCACGACATATGGGGCAGTAATGGCTGATATTTTTGCACGAATTCATACAATATGGTAACATGCAACACGGCCAACATCTGTAAAAAATATATTACTTTTGTATATGTGTGTTATGGTTTTATCAAGTATTTAAAAATCTTTGTACCCGCACAAAAAGAATGTAAACGCAGCGACATGAGTAATTACAGATTGCCGAACTTCTATAGTCGTGATAACAATTGTGATGCAACGCGGGCATATCGCGGTCGTGGGTCTTGGCGGCCACAATCCATTCGCGTTTTCTATAAAGGAAACCATTATAAATCTAAAAAATAAATCTAATATAGTGTTTTCCAATAACAGCGATAGAACTTTCAATTCTCATAGCCGCTATATTTGTTATTCGCTTCCTTAAGTCACGCGACATTTGTAGTGTTTTACAAATCATTATGGAGAAATACACAGTTACTTAGCATATTAAAATTGCTAAAATGAATCTTTGCTTCATTCAAACAACGTTTCATGCACTTTGTTCGATTTATAGTCAACAAAATCGATTTTTCTTGTGGGGTCATGTTAAGTCTCTTATTTGTTCCAATAAACCACAAACTGTCGACGATCTCAAAGCAAACATCATTCGTGTTATTGTTGAGATACAGCCTGATTTATGCGCCAGAGTTATAAAAAACTGGATTTATCATATTCATTCCATCAATCATCTCATTCCAGTAATCGTATTGGTCATTTAAATGATATTCCATTTCATGCATAAGGTCATCGAATGTACGTAAAAATAAAACAATAACTACCAAATTATCTGTTATAGTTTTCATTTTATTTAAATTCAAAGTTCTATCGCTCTTATTGGAAAATTTGTTTTGATGTATGTAAAACATATTCTGCAAATGCAATCTATTACGCGAGACTGAAAGCAATTGTTCCATGGAATAAGATGCGAGACAAATTCCTTGAGCTTGAGCGTAACTAGGTGGTGGTATCGGAGCTACGAAAGACGAATTATTTGTCGATCGAAATGGCCTCCAATTGCGCGTTGTTGTTGCACGACTGCCACATATCGAGGAATATGAAGGTGGTGCGTCTCTTATGCAAGGACGCGTATTTGGCTACCGCGTGGATCAATCTTTATTACCTTACGATTTACGCTATGAAAAAAAATACTAATTATATTATACGAAGTTCAATATTTCATTATTTACAGGTAACATGCCCCGTAAACGATTAGTTAATCTCCATCGCCGATGATGCGTTCCATGCGTAGATATATTATCTTCCGATGCTTCTCTATTTGACGATGCTAAATCCAACGAGCTCGAATGATTACCTTTATCGAATGTACAATTTAAATTATACAAGTGTTTCGTACATATACAATCATGGACATAATTTAATAGACTTAACTATTTTTGGAAAATCCTCCGTTATATTATGACCCCTCAAAAACTTCAAAAAAGTAAAAAAATTACGCCAAGTACATCAAATCAAGTAAATCACAAAACATAGAAGATAATAATAATTACAAAATTAAAAAAAGATGTGAAATCAAAATGAGTTGCCAGTACATAAAGATGCTTTCCAACTACGCTTTAGATGACACAGCTACATATGCACAGCTAAAATTCCATTACCCATAATGGCTATTTATACAAAGAAAAAATGTATTAAATAATATTAAGCAGATATATTTTTATACAAATAAATATTTTAATACGAATAAATATTTTATTCAAAATACTTGGCGCTGCGAAACCGAAAAATGTTAATTGTCTTACAATTAGTATTAATAATTTACAATTACTCCCTTACAATCTAAAATACATAAACATATACATACATATATTAGAAACGCAGTCAGATTTATTCTACATATATTTAATTCTAATATAATACGTAGCATATGCACACGCACACACACAGTTACGAACGCACCCACAAGAACGAAAAAAATTGATCCAATTTATACATGTTTATTCAGTTTAGCAACACCAATTCGGGGCGCAGCGCCAAGTATTTTGAATAAAATATTTATTCGTATTAAAATATTTATTTGTATAAAAATATATCTGCTTAATATTATTTAATACATTTTTTCTTTGTATAAATAGCCATTATGGGTAATGGAATTTTAGCTGTGCATATGTAGCTGTGTCATCTAAAGCGTAGTTGGAAAGCATCTTTATGTACTGGCAACTCATTTTGATTTCACATCTTTTTTTAATTTTGTAATTATTATTATCTTCTATGTTTTGTGATTTACTTGATTTGATGTACTTGGCGTAATTTTTTTACTTTTTTGAAGTTTTTGAGGGGATCTCACTTCTTTTTTCAAAGATTAATTGTACTATTATTTGCAAATTCGTATTCATACACACGTATTAATTATTTATTTATCCTGAATGCATGGAAAATCTTCCAGTCGATTAGATCGAAACATTTGGATCAAATGTTGACGCATTAACGCATGATTGTACGTTATAAGAGTCGACGACAGCGCAATGATCCCGAGAGTCGACGAACGAAACATGTGTGCGAAACTGATAGGTGTGTGTGTATACGTATTATGTCGACGACGACAAATTTTCGACTGAAGAAGAAAAATTTTCTCTATTTCTGACAATTTCAATGAGACGATATTACGATATCTCTAGCATGCGTGGACCGATTTTTTTGGAATTGGTCTTATTCGAAAGCTTATATGCGGTTTACATAAGAAAAATGCCTTTAAATTTAAAAAATATTGCAGGGGTGATGAGATATTATTGAAATAAGTTTCAGAATAGCCTGGCGACGAGTAAAGGATAGCGGTAGCGACAGTCGATCGATATCTTGTATACAGGGTGTCTTTCATGTACTTGGCGTCGAGACGCTACCGCGTCTCTAGATAATGTATCGTCCTTCCACGAGAAGAAGGCATAGCGTGTTTACATCCCCACTTTTGCTGCAGTCCGCTGATTGACTGCCACCAATCTTCGTCACCGTTTTCGTCCAATACCTGTGAATCAGCGGACTGCAATAGGAGTGGGGATGTAAACACGCTGTGCCTTCTTCTCGTGGAAGAATGGCACATACACTTTCTATTTTAATAATTATTTTGTTATAAATATTTATAGTGTACACATCATTTTGACCACCTATAACTTCATACTATTGTGATGGAATAAAAAAAAAATTAATATATTATTTGTTACAATTGATTTTCTCATACGACGAAACTATACTTTGCTAATTTACATATTCAATAAAGTTTGGATGTACGATAATTGTCGTCGATAAATTACATTAATTTTTTTATTTGTTACACCTGTCCACTTAATTTTGTCCATGACTGTATTTCAAAGAAAGAAATTATATTTGTATAGAATAATACCATTTCTACCGACCGCGTCTGTCAATATGCTGAGTGCATCGGGTGAAGAACTCCCATAATCAGTGGCCACAGTTAAAACTTCGTTTTTCGGTTCCGATTTGCATGAAGAAAACGAGGTAGATATTTGCATACTATTTCGCGGAGTCCTGGATATTGAATATATTAACGACGGATGCACCGGTGTTGCTTGTGTTGTCACTTCGCGGCTAAGTGTGGCCGATGTCTTGAATAGCAATAAAATCTTATGTTTTCCTTTTTGCAAATTTATTTAATAATTAATATATATGTGTGTGTGTTTTAAAACGACCAGTTCTTCGTGCAAAAAAAAGTCGAAATGTCCTTTACTATTTTGCAAGCTGAAGCTCCTTTTTTGAAATATATACAAGCAATTAAAATTAGTTCAATTTTATAATTTACATCGCTTCAGTGTTAATTCAGTAGTATTTCATATTCATTAAGTGTATGATGACTCATGCACGGGAGTGTATATGTATACATATGTATATAACATACAGGGTGTTCGGTCACCCTTGGAAAAAATTTGAATGGGAGATTTTAGAGACCAAAATAAGACGAAAATCAAGAATACTAATTTGTTGATGAAATCTTCGTTAAAAAGATATTAACGTTTAAAGTTCCGCCCGTACTGCATTTTTTTCTAGAAAGAGGGTAGGATTTCGGGGGTAGGTCTATTCACCAAAAATTATTGTAATTGACCACCGCAACCGAAAATAATTTTTTTAAAACGATTCGAAATTTTTTAATTTTGTCGAAAAATTTCACACATTCTCGAATTTTTTTCTTGAAAGTGGGTAGGATTTCGAGGGTATGTTTAATGACCAGAAGTGATTGTAATTAACCCCCGCAACCGAAAATAATTTTTCCAGAACGATTTGAAATTTTTTTTTTCACCGAAAAATTTCAGCAGCTACCCCCTGTCGATTTTTCTTAAAAATTCGATTTTCATTTTTAATAATTTTGTTTGACACCTTACAGAAAAGTTGTCTAATACTTTTTTGTAAGTACCCGTGGGCTCTACTTCAGAAAAAAGTTTCATTGAAATATATTCACTATTGTACGAGTTATGGCTGTTTGAAAATTGGACCATCTTTTTTTATGGCGTTTTTTTAACTTTACGGGGTCAAGGAACAGCTTTTAAAATATTTTTAAAATTTCTACATATTCTACACTAAAATAAGCGTCGTTTGCCCTTTTAAATATTAAAATCGTCCATTCCGTTCAGAAATTATGATGTTTTAAAAATTCGCATGAAATTTCAGGGAAGCATTTCTGGCCTGAAATTATATTTTCGGTAAGGAATTTTTTTTCTCGAAAGTTGGTAGGATTTCAGGGGTATGTGTATCCACCAAAAATGATTGTAATTGAGCCCAGCAACCAAAAATAATTTTGAAATTTTTTAATTTAATTTTTTAATAACTTTTTAATGAAGCCACAGTCAAGAAATTGATATTCTTGATTTTCGTCTTATTTTGGCCTTTAGAATCTCCAATTAAAATTTTTCCCAAGGGTGGCCAAACACCCTGTATACACACACACACACATATGTTACTACGCATACCTTGTTTCGAAGAAGCGTACAAGGAAACGATTTCATATTCTCGCAGGATTCTATTACATCGTTCGTTGTTTTATAATCAAAACGCGTTGGCAATGACGTTGAGTCAATAAATTGTTTGTCCAAAGACGATTGCGTTACTGAAAGCTTAATTAACGTTAAAGGGGTCTGGGTACCAATCGTTGATAATTTTCCTATTCCCCCCACGCTATCCCGAAGTACCAATAATAATGGATACTGATCCAAAGAATTTTCTGTAAAGTAATTAATATAAAAGAATCTAGTTTAATTAATTTCACAATTTTCAAAACTACCTACTAATTACCTAACGTTGTCGATTTTATTTCTTCTAATTCTTCTACATTGTCTACGTCTTGTGTACTGTGGTTAGAAGAACCGTTTGTTCTTTCATTTGAATGCATAGTTAAGAATAAATAATACAGCAAACTGTATTATGTGGACAAAAATTAATGACTTGTTAACGTAACAATCAACGCCATAATTTATTACCGTGACTGACTGAATGAAAACACAATTGATATTTTTCTACGAACAACGGGTTTCATTCGGCATGAAAATAGGTTAGAAAGGACTTGTGTATGGGAATACCTATATCCATGCGACCTTGCAAAACCAAAACATTTTTCACTCGCGTTCTAATCTATTTTGTTCTCCAATGTACCATTCACAACGACAAAATTAATGTTGTGTAAAAAGTTTATATCAATACTTTTCCCACGTCGAACCGTGTAGACAATAATTCAAACCGAGCGCTGCTCGAAGCTCGCGAAGATGGCACTCTGTATTGGAGAATTCGTACCTATAATGCACACCAAACAAGTGGAATAAACAATTTCATATTGCGAGTCGTGCAAAAAAATAATGAAAGTACGATTATGTAATGTCGAATTGGTCGGACGAGACACTTGTAATTTCGATTCGATCGTGATTACTTTGTAGCGGTGTTGTCGAGTAAAGAACTCGAAGTTTCGTGATCGCGAGTAATCGCAGCGGCTATCAAAAAATAGTGGCGCTGCGTTGAGCGTGCGCTGACGCCATAGTGTGTGCGAGAGGCGAGAACAGCCGAAATGGAGGAGAGTCAAACATCGGAAAGTGTCGCCGTGCTACCGGACATGTCCGAACCGTTGACGAGCGAAACCGAGGAGGCGTCCTCCCTAACGACCGAGCACGAGGCGCATCCCGTCGCCGTGACGGCGAGCGTCACTTCGGTACCGGGTGTTCCTGGTGTTCCAGGAGTTGGCGTACCGGTTTCTTTGCCTGTTGGTTCTATCATCGGTGTAGCGAACTCGTCCAATGGTACGACCTTCAACGTCATCACCTCGGACCAGTTGCAAGTACGTTAAAACGAAGAACTTTTTATCGTAACTTTCCCTCCTTTAATACCATTCCGAAAAGAATGGTTATAAAATTCAATGATTCCTCGCTAAACGGTTGCTAAAAGACGAGGTGGGGTTTCACTCGTAGTGTACCATGCAATCGTAGTGTAAGTGTATGACACTATTCTCTAACTGCGCCTGTCCACGCACTATGATGTAAAGGCACGTGTTTCTTTTAAGATTATGAGTTTACATAGTAATAAAAATTTATTGGTGGCACCTACTCGATTTTACTACTAGGTGTTTGCATTATTAGACTTCAATGATTATTTTATAAATAAATGTATACAAAACTTAAAATTTCATGTTAAATAGTTTTAATGAACGTAAAGCCTAAAACGTGTTTTAACTTTTAAAAAAATAATAAGTTTCGTCCTTATATACCAGGTACAAAAACAAACCTTTTCTGTATTAATAATTATATAGGAAACTAAATTTTAATGAGATGTATCATTTTCTGATTTCAGCTACCTGGTTCGGGGCAGTTTAAGCAGATGCTATGTGTAGATAATGGTTTTATTTGTGAACCTCATCATGACAAGGATACAGATCCTTTACGTTGGAATGGAGAACTAAAGGCAACACATATAGTAATACAAAATAGTACAGAGGAACATGAATCTGAACAAATACACGTTTCTACTCCTAGTGCACAACAAATATGCAGTTGGTCAGAATCTGCTAATTTAGCAGTATTGCCAGTTAGATGCAAAAATACAAATGCAGAATTGCATAAAAGTAGATTTGGATCTGGAGCTAGAGGAAGGTGTATAAAACTTGGACAAGATTGGTATACACCAAGTGAATTTGAAGCACTTTGCGGTAGAGCATCTAGCAAAGATTGGAAACGCAGTATTCGATTTGGTGGTAGAAGTTTACAAACATTGATCGATGAGCAAATTTTAAAACCACATGCTACCTCTTGTACTTGTGCAGCATGTTGTGACGACGACAGTGCAGTTAGTATACTAAATAGCATTGTAATTAACATGGGTATGCAGGATTCCGAAAATATCCGAGATTTTCGAAGATATTCGGGAGTCCCTAGAATGTTCGAAAAAAATTATTATAAATGTTTAAAATTGTAAAAGGTGGAGTGAAAGTAATATATCAAAGAAATAACAAGTATAAAATCTTTTATTTAAAACTTCCGTGAATCCCTAAACTATCTCTCGAATGTGTTTGGGATCCCGTCTCGTCCCGAGCATCGAGATCTCGCATACCCCTGGTAATTAGTTTTGTTTTGATAAATTATGTTAAAATTACTATGTTTCAGACGGGTCCTGTCCGACTTTTTACACCATATAAACGTAGGAAACGAGCTAGAGATGCGTCTGATGGAGATACACCATCGCGTAAACATAAAAGTGATAATTCACGAGATGGTAGTAATAATGATGAAAGCGACGGTGAAGTCGTTGTACCTGATAAAGAAGTATGGCCACAGTTCGTTTCGGCAGATGGTTTAGTTGTACAACAATCACAAGAACAGGATGGTGTTGTACAAACTGTACACCAAACTGAAAATGGACAAAGCGAAGATATATTTAAAAGACTTACCGAAATGTCTAATGAAATATTAAAATTAGTTCATGAGTTTAAACGAACTTTAAAAGAAGCTAAGGAAATGAATAGACGACAAAGACGAGAGCAAGCGTTGGTAGCTCAATTAGGAGGTAGGGGAGATGTTATTGAAACTGTTGGATTGCAACCAGCATCAGATACACATAACAAAAAGGTAATGCACAAGAAAAATAAATTTTATACTCATCTAATTGAAATTACTGAATTATTTCTCTTGTAGTGTGCTAATTGTAATAGAGAAGCATTTGCAGAATGTTCTTTATGTAGACGCACACCCTATTGTTCTACATTTTGTCAACGAAAAGATTGGGCAAGTCACCAAGTAGAATGTGTAAGAGGTGCTGCTGAAACAGTAATGCTTATAGTAGAAAGTAGTAGTGGAGATACTAGTACTCTTGCAACGACTACTGGGGACCAATAGCTAGTGTTCCTCACACCCATTCACCAAAGGAATATGGAAACTGAACAAATTAATGTGGAAACTTCAAAATTAAAAGCAGAGACGAAGACTTAACAAATTTATTTGATGATTGAAAAATCAAAAAGTTCTGTATATATGCTAGTAAATATTTTGTATGTACATAAGTTAAATTGTAATCACATTGATACATATATTTACGCAAAAGTTGAAATTTCTAAAGATCATGACTAGAAATCATACAGAACATTAATGAAAAAGTAAATATCATATACCAAATAAAAATGCGTGGAATGCTTTTATAAACACATGTGTGCATGTATACACATATATACCTATTTCACACTTTTTACATCCTTAAAATATATGTGTGTATACATATGTTTATGTATTACACATAATAAATAAATAGTTCTATGAATAATCTTTTTGTTTAATAAAAATCTAAATCGACCAAAGGAGGTAAATACGTTTCTGCGAAGAAGTTATTTATGTACAATATCATCTCTCATATTTTCCGTTTATAAATATTATTTTGTAATGCTATTTTTATTAATAAGATTTTTAAGAAGCGATACTGCTTTACTATTAATTTTTAGTACAAATATTAAGCGAATGTTAGGAGCATTATTAAATACTTTGATTTACATTTTACATATGATGCGCTAAATCTTGTAAGAGTTTTTTGTACGTATTTGCAGTTTTAAATCACGGTCACAGAAGGAACATAGTCACATTTTACTATATTTTTTTAGTACAACAGTATCATATTTCCTTATTGTGAATATTAGTAAGAATATTAATTTGTAGCTTTGTGTACGTGGTACACAAATCATTAAAACAATAACACTAAAATCTTTATAATCATGAATAAATGAACGTAATATCTAATCGAAGATGTATTATTTATTTTTAAATATGTTTTTTCAAGTGGAATTCGTAGAAAACATTTTTTTCTCGATTTTACAAAATATATTACGTAGCAGCACCGATATTTCGTCGTAAATCATAGAAATTCTTTTGCTTTTGTATGTTCAAAGCCAAAAAGAAAAATAAACTAATATTCTTTTTAATTAATAGCTACACATATATCTTAATTTATTACTAAAATGAATAGTCAACAACACATTCCAATTTCCTTTACATTTATGTCACAGATAAACATGACACTTTATTTTCAAATAAAATATAGACATCAAAAACTTAATTTGTATTTCTTTATTAAATAGTATTTAATATTATTACATATTTTATAAAATAATTAATATCTAGTAATTTCCATAATGCTTTAATCTGTATAAAAAGGCACTACTCGATTTATTAGAAATTCCTAAATAACCACTACCTGGTGAAAAATCGATAGCTTCTGGCATTAACATATTTGTTTGAAATGTGGGAAAGTTTGAAAAGACAGTAAATGATGGTAAATGTACCATTTTAAATGCATTATGTTTTTTGTCTGAAGCAATTGCTAATATTTCGGAATAAGAATTAAACTTTAAACTAGTAATAGATGTTACAAGGTTTAAAATAATTTTCAAAGGAACAGGCTGTTGACTTTGCAACACTGTTTTTGAGTCATATATATTAACCACTCCTTCTTTACTACCTGTTGCCAAAAATTGACCACTTGCAGACATTGCAATGGATGAACAAGACAAACATCCATCATCCACAGCACGATGTACGCATGACCGACTATTTACATCCCAAATGTACATTTTATTACCATCTGCAGTAGATCATTAAAAAATTCAAGATGATGTACAAAATTGAACTAAATGATGCAAGAATACTTGTATACAAAACTTACCACCGTGTGTAATGAGAGTTTTACCATCTGGAGTGAAACATATTGTCCTACACTTTGAATTCATTTTCAAACTACCAATAAGTTCTTTCGACGAACTTGTCAATAAAAAAATTTCACCTAAACGACCACAAAGAGCTAACAATTTTCCATCTGGAGATACTTCATATTTCTAAATGATTATTTAAAAAATGTTAATGGCTATTATCATAGAAATTACTATAATTGAAATTTGACAAACCTTCATATTAGTAATTCCATGTGGTAATTGTATTTTATGTGTTTTACCACTAATTAAATTATAGGAATGACAGTGTCCATAATATTGAGAACCAATTAAAACTTCTGTACCATCCCTAACAAATTTTGCTGTACTAATAGGAAATTTTTTATATTGCATTGAATGTAGTTTATTATTTTCGATACCATCTATCTGTAATTACATTATAATTTTGTACCTTTTTTATTTGAAAGTATCAATACAAGTAATTTGTAATTTCTTACTTGAAAAAGGGACAAAATTCCAGATGTACCAGCCACAAGGGCTACAGTGGAAGATGGATGAAATTCAAGACTCGAAACAATAGGACCTTCTGTATGGGTTTGTTTGTTGATTGGAGTTAGTGCTTTAATATCAATTATGCTCTTTGGCAAATTTTTCACTTTAGGTTTTTCCAAATGACAACTATGCTGCAAAAATATATCATAACATCAAATAAAGTCCAAAAAACATTCTATAAAATTTTCATTACCTTTAATATTTCATCATCTAAATCATCAGAGTCTTTATCTGTCTTCTTCATCTCAGCCCATTTTGGAGTACCCACAATTTGTTTGTATTTGTTATGTAGAAAATCTTTATACAATTTTTCTGGTATATCAGCAGGTAATTTACGATTCTGTGCCTTTGTAGCATCTCGTACTCTAATAAAACATCCAATTAACTTAATTAATTTTTAATTAATGTCTATCATTTACTGGCAGTACTCTCTCTCATAATTAGCTAATAATATTTGTTTGTTAAATTACGATACACACGAATATTGTACATCATCCTCATCCAACCATGCTTCTTTCTTCTGTAATTTTGTACAAACATCACTTCGTGTATCGAAATCATCGATACTTTTGTTTTTATTTGGTTCAGTGAAATCTTCATCATTTACTAAATTGTTTATAATGTCACTTGGATCACCAAATACGATTCGTTCTAACCTATATACGAGTCACATTACAATTTATTAAAGTCATTCAATTAACACCACTTGATCTTAATGATATAAGTATACCTGGCTTCTTCTTTTGGATCGTACGCATTTTTACGTTTCTTTTTTAAAGGTGCAGTAAATTTTTGGTTATACAATGTCTTTGTAGGTATACGTTTCTTTGCAATCATTTTATTCAATGTTTCTTTTTGAGTTTTCATATTATGGTCCTTTGTAGTCATTTTACTCATTGTTGCAATTTATTTAGCACGATAGATAATACATTAATCATGCAGTAGAGCAAATTCAATTCGCACATTTTTACTACATAACCTTGCAACACGATTATGACTGGATTTGACTACATACTACATACACATATATGTATACTTAGCAATAGTACTTGCTGCACAGATGCATTTTTATTTTGGTAATGTTTACAGTATACAAAGATTGTAAACAACTTAATGTAATGATTTCTATTAAATATTAATTATGACAAATTATAAGCACGTTTCGTTCATAAAATTAAAAAATTTTCTTTTATATTCCATAATAGAATTTTACTAAATTCAGAAATTATTAGATAAGTAGTCATTAATTGAAATATTTTGTGCTGTTTAAAAGGAATATTGCATGTTAAATGTTCTTCTTTTTTTTTTCAACAAGTTTTTAATCATCCATTTTTTATAACAATACCAGACGCCTAATTAAAGTGAGTTTTGTTTACATGAAAAAACATAGGTAATTGTTTATATTAATGATGACTTTACCGATTACAACGATTTTGAAATATATCGGAGGGGACATTTTCGTATAAACCTTTCATTGTCGTGAAAACGTAATTAAACCAATCTAGATCATTATTTTTCTTTCGTAATAATTTGGGTTGATCTGATTGTATTTAGGAGTCAATAAAGACTAATAAACAATTCTAAGTTCAAAATAAATTCTACATTTTGGGTTGACCAAAAAATTCGTGCGTTTTGAAATGTTAGTTACGTTATGTAACGAACTTCAGTTCAAAAGAAGATATTGTAACCAAAAAAGTTTGGAAATTGGATTTCTTTTATAATTTTGACATAATTTCATGCTGATTATATTTTGAAAAAGGAAAAATGCACAATGGGACCATTAAATGGCTGTTGATTAATTTTTTACGGGGAAACAGAGATTTTTATGAATAAGAAATTATAAAACTATTCGAAAGATAGGAATGGGTTACAAGAACAAAAAATTTATTATTGAATAAAGATATTTCGTATTATAAAAGAATTACTTTTTCATTAAACAAAAGTAACCAACAAACTGTATAAATCGTTTAGAAACATTTTTAAAAACTTCATCTTCCATGGCACCAAAATCATAAAATATCGTTTAAAAAACTCAAACAACAATATTTTTTACATAAATAATTTACTGAATAATATATGTATAACTGTAATGTAAAATTGTGATATAATTAGTATAAATAATGTTTTTAACCATCTTCATGATGAATAGATAGAGAATCTTTAGAATCAGTATCAGAAAACAAATGTTCTTCCATAGCAAACAGAGAAGGACATTTCGGTTGATACTGCTCAACCGCTTCCAAGAGACTATCCGGATATCCAGGAGAATAATATCTAATGAGAAAAAATGTACTAATTAGTCGCTAAAGTTAAATTGAAACTTTAACCAAACTTAATTAAGACGAAAACATCCCAATAGAAGTTTAAGTTATGATTAACAATTACGTTTTAGATTGAATATATAAAAAGTATGTCATTGAAACTATTGAAATAATAATCATCTGTTTACGTATCGATAACGTCATATCGAGTGATGCAAGATACGTAATGTAAAAGTAAAATCAAATTTAAAAGTTTTCAAATTTAAATGATACAGCAGTGCGTAAAAGATTTATGACAAAGCTGTTGTGACTTGTCGTATATAAGAGTCACAGAAATCATCGAGTGCGCGTAAAATTATTGATCCAATAAAGTCCGGGTTTATATTTTTCCAATGCAATCAGCTGTGACAACATGGCGGTCACGCCGTATATTACCTGCCCGATTTAAATTAAGACACACGAGATCCAGAAACGAAGCTGCAGTTATTTGCATTCGCTGTTGGTGTAAACTGCTCTAAGAAGACTGGTCTTTTTCAACGACAAAAACGCACGCTGCCATATTCCTTCGGTAAGTAAATCTTTACTAGGGTTATGTCAAAAGCAACTAGTGTTTTTGACGATTACCTACTGTTACTATTATTTTTACATGAACATACTTCCCTGCATGTATTGACATTTCAATCAATTTCACGAATATTATGATTATAATCGGGGAATTCGGTCTAATATAGTATGGAACAATTAAAAAATTAAAACAATAGTTAAAATAACCAGACATCTTTGTAAACTAACACCATTCTTGTATGATTATAAGTCCAATTTTTTCGAGAAAGGGTGTTCATTAATGTATGTTTTTATAGTATCTATAATTGTTATACTATGTTTTAAAAATAATGTAAAGTAGCAATTAAACAATTGAAAATACTATTAATTGAAAAAATGTTTGGTAGGAGTAGATGATTAAAAACAACCTGACAATTTCTTCTGGAAAACAGCAATTGATAATTTGTATATATTCTAAAAGTGTTGAATCAGGATCTGCCTCAATTTCCTGGACTTTCTTTAAACCACCGGATGTTACAAATAATCTTCTTGCCCTGGCATCGTTAGGCAAAACCTATATAAAAACAGAATTATCAAAAAACAATATTAAATTCTTTACACTTTGTGTTATTTTAATGTTCTCGGAGAGAGAAAGAGATAGATAGAAATAGAAAAAGAGTGTATGTATATAAGTAGGTGGTACAGGAACATTATTAGCAATCAGTTTGCATGTTGCAATGCACCTAAGAATAAGGCTTCTGAAACCTGACCTACACACTGAGTGCATTCGTCTAAAGTGAACCTACTTACTTTAATGTTTTAATCTGTAACAAAGAAACAAAATAATTCAAGACACATAGTGTTAACAATATTATTATTTCGATACATATATGCTATTGTGTATTTAATTTCGTTAATAAAAAAGTCGTATAACGTTATATTAAAATATGTTGCAAAAATGTCGAGATTTCGTAAATATTTGTTGCACGATATGATGCAACGTATTATGTTTCGTATTTTGTATCGCTTTTGACGTACGATCGATCAATTCCTACGCAGGAATATTGCTTTCGAATAATATCTGATAAATAAGCCGATAGTAAATTGTATTCAATGGTCAGTTGAATCGTCGTCAAAATTTGTATAATTTATATAAATTGTTAATTATTTGTTTGAATTAACTGATATCATTTTTATTATATGATTAATTTTATTATAGACCTATGGACACGATACGATCGATTTATATAATTAATTTATTTAAAACATTTTGGTTCGTTTTTTTTTATTACTGCGTTAAAAAATATCGTATGCATTCTATTAATGTACATATGTATATTCTTAACGCGACGCAACCATAACCAGATCCGCGTTTTTTTTGTCTTTCATCGCCGCCAAAAATATCTCATTTCCGAAAACAAAATTCCAGAGCAAAGACGCAGAAAAGCATATTTGTCGTGAACCTGTTGACATATTTAAGAATTCGCCTATTTTTTCAACCAATTTTAATTTGTATGTAGAAATGACTTTGCAATAAAATATAAATTATTAAATTTTTTCAGTCGGATGCGGTGCTAAATATCGGCTGCTAAGGAAACCGAAGATTCGACGTTACTTTTTTGACACATTACTTGCAGAGCTAATCCTAAGCTGCTTGTCTGCTTTTTTATAAAGTATAATTTTTTATTTAAATTTAATCAGAAACTATTTGCATACGCTATAAGCAGAAAAGTTTCTGAATTTTTGAAACGTTTTTAAAATAATTTATTAAAGAAATAAAAACAGATAAAAGAATAAAAGATTAAAACAAGTATCAAGTAAAACTCAGAGTACACCAGCTTTAATAAAATAATTCAAATAATACTTTAAAGAAGTGCGAAGGATAAGAACAGAAGTTGAAAATCATAGGAAGACTTAAAATATTTCAATTAAAAGTAACAAATTCTTTGGTGATATGCATGGCTTTGATAACAAGACAAGACAGCTGCCTTAAAGTTAAAATTTATAACAATTAAGTGATAAAAGACGATATCATTGTATACAGAAGATTAATTGCAGTGTATATTACACAATACTGATTGTCATATTTCTAGCAAATATGTCTGATAAGAGCAACATAAAAATTGGTAACTTATAAGAAGTTAACTCATTGTTAAATCACACAGTGCAATCTCGGATGTTTCACAAGCTACATGTAAAGTAAGCTTCATATAGTTTCTAACTGAGCATTGTGAAATACATGTTAATTACGGTAAAACGTGGGAATAAAAAAGATCCAAAACGTTAACCAAAAAAGTGAAAAGCTAATAATAGACATGGTAAACAATCAACACTGTGTTTTTTTAAATTCGGGAGAGACCAACAGCTATCATCAGCCGGTCTCTGCCAAACCTTCTGTTGTCTCTGTATCAAGTATTGATTCTGATGTAAGTGACAGAAGGGATGTACGTGAAGAACTTTATGCTGGAATCTTCAGGCGACATAGGAAGACTATACTTGTATTAGGCAGTTTTCTCAAGATGCTGAGGGTGAATAGAAATATGAACAATTATGCTAGTATTAAACCCAACGATGACAATGATGAATAAAATAATAATTTTGTTGCACGAATGGAGTAGTAGACCAAATTCATTTTTTTATTTTGATAATAATTAAATAATTACTAGTATTGCTTTGTAAAAAGAATAAGAAAAAAAAAAGGAAAATAACTTAATCATTATAATGATTAGAAAAATTAGTGTATGTTGATTTCATTTTTGAAGATAACATGTTCAATTTAGTTCTGATTTATTATCATTCTTAAAGAGATGCTTATCTTACATAAAGTAATATCTTGATAAATATTTATCTTTTAATGATGTGCAACTGCTATATATTATGTTCAAATTTGTTTGTCATAATGACTATGTAGATCATAAATATACACAAATGTGCTTATTAATATGTACTTTTGGTAATGCTATATACTGATAAAAAGCACGTAAAATTTTGTATAGTGGCACAATACAAAAGTCATGTATCATTTATGAATATTTAGAAATCGCAATCTGCACAAATTATTATACAGATTACTTTTTACAAAGCAAGGTCTTTTAATTAAGTAATATTATAAAAATTTTTATATTAATTGAGAATCTATATATATGTATATACAATATAATGTTGTATGTTGTTTTACTTGCATAGTTTTATCCTTTATAAAAAAAAAACATATTATTAAGGCATTGTTTTAACATTAAAAAATGAGTTACTTAAGTATCATTATAAAAAAAAATTGGTCAGTTTTTACATTTTTTTATAACATAATTTGTTTTTTTCACTTTTCAGAAATGCTTGGACAGATTGCATGCTCTGAACCGAGTATATGCTTTAATTGCTTTACAATTTGAAATTATCGTGCAACAAAAATTTTGGTAAAACACGGGTGTTTTAATTATTTTAATGTTTTCTTGCGTTGAGATACTTCAATGAATCAATTGTTCTAATATATAAAAGTTTGCTACAATTTATATATGATGAATTTTTAGTACAATGGAAATAATTATAAGGTGTAATTTTGCAACTGAAATTTTATGATTGCCTTTTACAATGTATATCTTATAATTTCTAACTTTAATGAAAATAGTTTTTGCTAAACTTTTCAAAATATTTTTAATTTATTAAAAATAACTATTACTGCCGATTGCATCTCATACATTTCTTGAAACGTATTTATATAAATACTACAGTTTGAATGAAAATTAAATAATGATTAGCTTTTCTGGAATGCAACTGCATTTATTGATAGTACTATGATCCACGAGCTTAACATTTATCAGAAATATGATTCAAAGCACATAATATTAAGATTTATACATTACATTAATGTATTATTACTGCAAATATCAAATCAATGCCTTATTGATCAACAGTTTCATAAACTGAAATTTTCATTGATCAATGATTAATATTTACTTCTAACTTAATAATTCTTTGTTATCTATATCTACAATTTTTGTACAACTGGTCTCTTTATATCAAATACTGCCATTAGAAAATACACCATGGTACAATAGATGCAAATAGGGAGTAGCTTGGTAAAGAGTATGTATAAATATTTCATATTTCAATTAAAATTTTTAAGCATTCAATAATTCAATCGTCCTTGTATTTTAGCCGAACCATTTACCATGGTAAGACTGAGAAATGTGCTTTTTTGGGACTTCAAATGTGCCATAATATTTATTATAGAAACATTCAAAGGAACAATTCAAACCATTCTACGCTATTATCAATTTTTTCACTTTTTACTAATCTGATTGTTAAACAAATACAATGACATACAGCATATCGAAGAATATTATTACTTTTTAATAGAAATACATAATGTTTGATACCTGTTGATTGAAGTCAAATTAAAATTTGTGGCATCTATAAATACTTACAACACATACAAAAAGGACAAGCAAGTAATAAAAATCATAAAAATAAGTTACACAGATACCGAATAAATCATTGTACTGTTTGTGTATCAGAGTAATATCACAAAACTAGGATTCTAATTGTTAGAATGTTATATTTGTGGTATAATAGTTTTTACGCGGGAAAAGAGAACCATTCACCTTATACAGCTGCTTGACCAATTTTTCAATAGAGCAACATTAGGTAGCTTGATGATGTTTTGTGTATATACATAAATATTACTTATTAAGTTTGTATTAAAACACAAAATGGTCACTAAACTTTACGATATAATACTTTATATACAGTGTAGAAAGATTTGTTAATATTATTGATTTGTATAATTTATCTTTGTAATGTATATGATAAATATTAAAACATAAATGTGGTATTTTTAATTATAAATTATATACCACAGTTACTATTTGATTTATTACATTACTATGTTTTTTAGTTTGTAAGTTCTAAGTACAACTTGTAAAAAGTGTGTATAAAATAAAGAATTATATACAAGTTAAAATATCATAGTATCTCTTACCTTACTAAACTGTCCAAGCACATATTTTAATATGTTAGGTGGTGAATCGTGTAATAAAGGTTCCAAGGCTTCGATATACATGCATCTCTGTAATACTTGCTTCAGTGTTGTATTACATTTTAATTTGAGATCTTCAGAGCTGCTTGGATCATTATAAAGCTAGAAATTAAATATATGCTAGTAATATTGTGTAATGAAAAATAATGTATCATAAATAACAGTTTTACATACTTCTAATAACTTTGGGAGAATGTTGGCTACTGCAATTGCTTTTGCATGTTCTGGTGTATGTTTCCCAATTTGACCAATCGCCCACACAGTAATGGCAAACAAACGGTCATCCTTTTCTTCGTGTAATACAGTAGATAAGTGAATAATTCCCTGCAAGGAACATTTTCACTTAGAGTATTGTAATAGCAAAAATATTATTATGTCATACTTTAGATCCTATAACTGCAATGGCTAACTGATCAGAGTGTCCAGCAATATATCCAATTGCCATTATTGCTGGTAATTTTACTGGTAATTTTGATATATTAATTAATTCAATTAGTGCACCGATACCACCGATATTTACAATGAGCTGAGCCATCTAAAAGAAAAATATAATTAGTATGCAACGAATAGAATGGTGTCTAATAGTTTTACTTCTAACGAATGCTTGCAAATTTCTCTGGTTAGTACTGCTGCCATTTTAACAACACATTCATCAGGATGTGCCATGTGTACAAGAACATCAGGAAAAACTTCAGCTTCGATAACAGATTCTGCCAGATTTACAGAATGTTTTGCTATGCTGCTCAATGCAGAAAGGACTTGACGCTATACATATTATTAAAAATTAAAATATTGTAGTCAATCATGTAGTGAAATCATGTAGTATGATAATTTATTTTACCTTTAACTTGGTATCAGGGTTAGACAGTCCTTTTGCAAGAAAGGGAATTGCTCCTGCATCAACAACAATCTCAGCAAGATCTTTATCATGCTTACTTATATCGCAAAGAGCAGATGCAGCAACTTGTTTTACAAATAATTCAGGTTCTTGTAAACACAGAACCAAAAGGGGCACAGCACCTACAAATAATACAATCTGTACATAACTATTTAAAAGGAGATTTACTGACGTATCAATGTGCATACCTGCATCAATAGTAGCTTGAGCTAAAGTTTTATTATGCCTGGCAATATATCCTAATGCCCAGGCAGCAGATTCTTTGACAATAGCATCAAAATCTTCTAAGCAAAGTATAACAATATCTAATCCATTGTTTTGAATCACTATAGATGCTAGTTCTGGAGAATGCTTAGCTATTGCACGTACAACAAACAGTGCTGCTTTTTTATAAAATTTCTATAACAAATGTTTTTAAATAATATAACAACTAATTCTTGTATATTCTTTTATGTAACTTATATTACAAAATACACCGCAGTCTAATAAAAAAAAAAGGAACATACTTTCTTAAAGTTAATGTGCTTACATTCATACATTTTGTTTATCAATATTCTTCAATAATTGAGGTAAGACATCCTTTCTTATGATAGTTTGAGCCAGTCTATGATTATTATTTGCAATTTTCCCTAAAGCTACAGCTGCCATGTATCGAATAGATGGTACAAGATCTGTCAGTAAAGGACATAAAAGATCCAAAGCTCCAGCAGCTTTTAAACATTCTACATTGTTCGGTCTTGAGGCAAAATCCGCAACAGATTGAACGAAAAATAAACGGGCTTTTTGATACTGATCAAAAACTACAAAGGTACGGTAATTAATGATGTTAATTTTAACAAACTAGTATACTATTTGACGGTAAAATTATGACGTAATTTGCGGACAAAAATTATAACGGTTGTTGGAGTCGAAATTATTACAATGCTCGCACGAGCTGTCAATAAAAAACCGCCAAATTTCGTAAGATAGATATTTATAATAATATTAAGAAGTGTACCTTGTAAAATTGAACGTGCTGTCATTTTGGTTTCTTAACAAATTTTAAATGTTATATTTATTCTTTGTATCCTTTCTTATACCGAGTACCAGTACAAAACTGTCGTATGTTTGAAAACGAAAAACTGCCGCCCTTCGCGTACGATGTATTACAGCGACTCTATAAACAAAAATAAACAGGTGTTTTGATCGAATGCAATATCAAGGCAGCATGGATATTCGAACAGAATAAAGAAATATTACGAATACATCGAGTTATCGTTGTATATATTGTAAAACAGTAGGGATAATATTTATTTCGCATTAAAAGATGACAGAAGATTTATTAATTAAGGAAAAAGGGTTTCGTCAACTAAATAAAGAACTCGAACAGAAAGCGCACGATTTGATGAAAAACGTAGATCGTGTTATAAACACTTATAACAACGAATGTTTAATTTCTAATTCAAAAAACCAATGCACGCATTTCAAAAGGGAGCAAACAAAGTTCTCGGAATATGCAGCAACACAAAAAGAAGCAAATTCGCAGGTTTCCGTTAAACGAAATTCGTCTTTGCCGTATATTTTTGGCCAAGTTTCATCTAAATTGTAAGTGCATGCTTGGAATTTGAATAAAATCGTTTATCGTTGTTAAAATTATTTTAAAACATTACGTTAATCTTTTAAAGTATTTCAATGCAATTTTGAATTTTGCTGTCATATATTTTAAGTTTATCCAAACATTTCTCGAGTTTATTTTGTCTAAACGCATAAATATAAAAAATTAAATTTTTTTACTTCAATTAAGTCTCATTTGTATCCAATAGAAAAGTAGAAGCACAGCAAGATTTTGTGGATGATGCTTCTAAAAAAGGAAACTTGGCAAATAAAACCATTATTAATTTGTTAAAAGCTAAAATAGATATGTTGCAAACTGAGTTACAAACATTACAGATTGAATACAGAAAAAAGGTAGATAATTTTACATAGACTTAAGAACAAAATATTTGATTAATTTTTAAATAATTTGTATTATATTGCAGTGTAATTTATGCATGGATTTAGAATCTGAACAAAAAAAAATTGAACTCAAATTACAGAATGAAATAGAATCATTAAAAAATACAATTACAAAATTAGAAAACACTAATAAAGAATTACAATGTCAATCACAAGCATTAAATAGTGAAAGTTCAATTATAAAAAAGGTATAAATTATATAAATAAAAATAATTGTAGTATTGTTTTATATATTCATAAAATGTATTTTTAACAGAATTTAGAGAAACTTCAAAAAGAAGTAAAAGGATCAAAGCAACAATCTGACGTTTATAGTATGAGATTGAATAGGTCTTTAGAAAATAATAATAAACTCAGAAATGCACTTAAATGTTCTCAAATAGAAGAAAAGGTACATGTTGAAAAAGTGTATGTAATACAAGTTACAAAACTACCGTAATCTTTTAAATTCTTATCTAATTTGATGTATATTTAGGAATTGAGAAATCAAATTAGAAAATTACAGGATGATAAAAGGATGACAGTTAATAATCTAGGAAAACAGCTGTCAGAATTGGCACATGTATTTAAAAAACAAATGTTGATTATAGATAACTTAAAGAAACAAAATGTACGTATCTGTTTTAATTATTTTGCATAAATTGTAAATAAGTAGTTTTATTCGTGTACTTTCATAGGCATGCTTAATTGGAATTGGACAATTAAAATTTACACAAGAAGAGTTTTCAAGATTATTGGATCAAAAATCAGAGTGCTTATGTTAAATTGTATATAAAACATTTATTGAATGACTGCTACAATTTATACACTGTGAAAGATGGAATAACTCCATTTCATAGCCACAAGTTTTATACAATTTTATTTTACAACGTGTGTTTCTTAACAATACTCTTCACAGAAAATGGGCCTATGTGACCTTACTTCGTACATTACCTGTCAGAATGTTATGAAATTCAAAAGTCTGATTTTTAACTCGTTTTTATGCTAGAATTTTAATTTCTGTTTATAAGTAACTTGTAATACTTTCTTACTGAAAATAAATATAGTTTTAAAATACGGCATAATTATAGCAATTATTCGATTGCGCTATACAAAATAATAATGGTACATGAGTAGTTAGTAGGATCTGTAACAGAAGGTTTTAAAACGAAATATAAAAGGTGTATACATGGTCACTGTGGAAATCATGCGTTCGAAAGAAAGTTTATTTTCGTTTATTTTTTTTTTTTTTTAAATAATATGATAAAAAAATTATAAGGAAACGCTTAACTGATTTCCATTGTAACTGTACTGAATTAAATGTTTCTATTTCAGACAACATTAAATGACTCGTTCAACTTATTTACAAATAAGTCCTATTTTGTGCATGGGGAATAAAAATTGACAAGAATAAATTTTAATTGTATGTACAAAAATTTAAATTATTAATACGTTTCACAGTTAGCGTCTGTAAGATGACCGTTTTGATTTTATCCGAACATGAGACATTAATATGGGACACATATTAAAAGTTTAAGCTTTCAGACATTTCAGAAAACATCAATGTTATTCTCCATTGTATGACATATGGATTTTACAAAATTTAATCCTGACAGTAGAGAATTCTGTATACTCTATGTTAAATAATGTACCGTTATACGTTCTCTAAACCTAGAGGAATAATCGAATCTAGAAATTTTAATATGGAATCAATTAAATGATGTAAAATATAAAAAAAGTGAATAAAGACGATATACATGTCTGCACCTTCGGTTTAACGCATTCTGCACAACTTAGTTTGAACAATTTTGCTTTAATACTTTGCCATTTAAATTCGCAGTACGTTTTATATAATAAAATACATTAATTTGATAGTTTTCTTTTGCAATTAAATATCAAGATGTTATTACTCACTCTCAAAGAAATTTTAATATATTTTTTCTTTTTTCGCTCCTTTTGTTTATAATTACAATAACTTTCAGTTCGAGACACTTGTGTCTCAGCTTTTTTACACGTCGAGTTCCATTATTCAACTCCAGAATGGTGATAACATTTGCAAGCATAGAGTTACATATACGTATATACTGTGATTCACTATATCATTCTTAATATTAGTGGCAGTAATGCATTAACAATTATTATTCTGTTACTAATGTTAAATTTCAGCCACTGCTTGTACCTGCACTCAAAATCATAGTATACCACAAATTTCCGATTCGTTTTACAGTAGTGTCTGCTTAAATGTTCATGAATCTGTCCGTTTAAATGCCTATGAGTTATCCCCATCATTTCTTAGAATTCCTTGCTCGAGTCGAACCTCGACGTTATCTACGATCTGTATCAATAGACAGCTTTATTTACGTATGACCGTATGAACTATAGCTAACCAATTTTTGGAACAAATCTCTACACACTTAAATGTTCACGTCCGTCTTGAACGTTGAACATTTAAGCGGACACTGCTGCATATTGCACTGTGGACATTTAATGTGTTCTAATTACTAAAAGTTATAACTTTGAAAAAATTAAATAATTTGTTTTGAAAATTTAACACATCTATTATTAACAAAGAAAAAAATTATGTTTCATACATTAAACGTTACTTTCATTTAACAGCAAAAACGAGCTCTCTAAGCTTTAGTTACAATGTATACAATACATATTTTTTAGATAATTCATTAAAACTTTTACATAATGGGTCGTAAATCATTTAATTGTTATTTTTACAAGAAATTATCTATAAAAACAATAATTAGATGCTTTTTTTTCAAGTTCTGCTAGCCACTAAAAAAATTCATTATAAATTGAGACTGCTCTAACTGAAAGAACAACTCAATTTTTACATAGTTAGGGCAGATTTGTTTATTCACTGGTATAAAATTTTGTTTCTTATACATATGATCACTAGCTGAACTTCACGATTGCTAAAATGCATTACTATCTATGTGCTTACTCAAATTTAAGATGTGTTTCATATTCTATAATACAAATAGCTGAAATTACATTTCTTTCTTATGTTACATGATCAGAAAAGACGTATTCGAATAATGTACTTTACACTATTCAAAAGAAAAGCGAGGAAACATATGTATTTCCCCAGATCTTCATTATTATTGGTTAATATGACTTATGACGTACCCTGAACTTTTTTCTTTAATAGTACTTTATTCACAGAATATATTTACTCATGTTACTTTTGTCACGATTAGTCTCTTATTTTTATCTCGTTTCACTACAGAGTTTGTGACTTGAAGAATATTATTTTTATTATGAATTTAAAGATTAAATTCATGCATTATCCTTTTCATAATATAATATTATATTGTGAAAAAATTAACGTTTCAACTTATGTCAAAGACGGCACAGACAGTAACACACCTAGCAGTTTGACTATGAAATGATTTTATTAACATATTATAAAAACCAGATTCTAAATGCGACCAGAGGGACAACATGGTACACGGGCATCCATGTACAAGGAAAATATACGAGATTCAAAATACGAGACTTAAATAAATATTGTGACAGTCTGTAGTAATGAGAGTGAAGAATCATCTTTCTTTCGCATATATGGTTGCTGCTGTATCATAGTCCTACATCAACTTGATCATGCCAGGTAGCTATAAGTATCCTTTTGACCCTCTGTGCGCTCCAGATATTCTTTCTCAATTAAAATATCTATACATTTCTGAAAGAGCAGAATCATCATACGTTAAGGTAACAATTTTCCTTGCTTATAATTTTTCCAGACATTTTACATACAATACTTCATTGATATCATATCGAAATTAATCAGTACAGAAGAAAATTTGTATCATCCCAAAATGATCTTGAAAATATCAAGTTGTTCATACTTACCTTAATAACATGAACTCTTGGTTTGAACCTAGCGCTTAACTGATTCAATACTTCAGCTACCAGTTGCTGGTGTTTCGACACCTTCCTCATTTTCATAATCCTAACAATTGCTGCCTGAATCAAAAGTTTTCTATCTTCTTCTATATGTTTATGTGTCGTTTCTTGTTCGATTTTCAATTCCGTTTTCATTGGTATATTAATATTTACCCTCAGCTTTTTGCTGTTATGAAAATAATATATCAACATAACTTTTGATAAAATAAATATTCTCATGTAACTGACTAAACATACTTTTTATATCCTGCGAAAAGTTCCACTGTTGTTAATGGCGTTAATTCAGTTTCATCATCTGTCGCTGCTGTTAACAGCTTAGCTTTCAGAAGTATTTGAATAACCTATAATATTGAAAATATTTAGAGTTTACTTTTCTTTCAAATTGTTTTGTAATATTAATACATTACCTGAAACAAAAAATCCATTTTTATTTGTGTAGCATCATGTAACTGTCGTATAGTCCATGCCGCAGATCCATTGAATTGTAATAAAATAGCCATTTGGAAAGTGGATGCTTGTAATGTGTATCTGAAATTAAATTATAGAAACTCACTTCTGAACGTTACGATACTTTTCAAAGCTTTAAATTTATTCTCCAAATATATTATTACCTGTTTTTAAAACAATTTGTATGTAATTCTCCTTTAGACATATTATATAACCAATTTAACTTTCTTCCACTATGTTGTGAACTGTAGAAAGTAGTAAACCTATGTACAGATCGTTCTAGCTGTAATATACAAAATGGTGCATTAGGCATTTACAATAAATTCAAATTTAAAACATATTATCCAATGATTAAGTTTACCTCTGTTGGTAATAAAAAAGTAAAAGATTGTTGAAACGGCCATGAGCCAGAAGACAGTACTTGTATACTGAAATCTATATCCAGGGGTTCAGCAGAATTTGTCAAATGTCTTTTGAACTGCTCATTTAGGTCCTTGGACACTCCAATATCCTGTGGACAGACTGCTACAATTATAATGTTATATAATTTTTAAAGTTATTTATAGATAATGTGAAAATAGTTTCCTACATGAAAAGTAATACATTTTATGAAATAAAATAAAAAGTAACCGAAAGTAATAATTTTATAGCATAATACAGTACCTGGAACATTCGTTGTAATTTTGAAGTATATTCAAAACCACATGCTTGTTTCAATTTAGAGATCATGGAAGCCTCTGCATCATCACTGGCTGACATATGTTGTACCAATCGCTTTGCCAACATTTTACTATAAAACTTTTGGAATACATCTTTGTCTTCAATATATTTAAATACTACCATCTGGAATTAAAAAGCAGGATTATTGCCATTAGTAAGAAATTAATAATATTAATGTTATTCAATTAAAATTTTCTTTCTTTATATGAGTATTACTTACAACTTGATTAAGTGTATCTTCAAGTTCTGCCTCTTCTGGATTTTTACTACTCTTCTTCAGCAGCAGGTCACAATATTTTGCTAGTAATTCTGGTGATTTACTGCTGCTATTTGCTGCTCTAGTTACCGAATTATTATTAATAAATCTTCCACAAGCCTTATCAAGAGCTGCCACAAAACCACTATCATTATTAAATGCAACAAGTACTAAAGCATTGTATTTTTTATGAACTTCTAAAGTTGTGTTCACATAAACCTTTGGATCCTATAAAGAAGAAATAGATATTAAAATTTTGTTAACGGAATCATAATGATTATATATTAATAGAAAACATACATTAGATGCAGCATCACCACATTTGTCAATAGCTGCAAGTCCTTGATTGGCTATGTGACTTTCTAAATGACTTCTTAATTCTCCAAGAGCATTTGGTATTCTTGCTGCTAACTGATACATTCGACCTAAATCTGCATTTTTGTCAGCATTCAACAGATTTTGGAATTCAGAATGAAATATGTCTAAATGTTTTTCAATTAACACTTTTTCGCATGTTTTTGCTAATCTCTCACAAGTTGTTTGATGCAGGTAAACTTGAACCCGTTTTCGTTCTTCTAGTAACCTTTGGTCTACCTGTGGTAAAATAGTGATGGTAAACCATTTATGTAAAAAATGTTAGAGAATTATAAAACTGTTGCCTGAAAACCTTTTTCATGTACTCTGTTACTGGATTTTGTCTGAGGAATTCTGAGCTTTCACGAGTGTAAAACCTTTCTGTGTCCTCAAGGAAGATATTTTCAAAAGAATCTTTATAAACAGTAAGATTCTGCCCTTTTTCGTTAAAGCCCAATTCTACGTAACAATTGATTACACCACTGACTAAACGTGTGTTTATTGTTTCACCATTGCGTTCTCGCTCAATCAACTTGAGAACTGCATTAGTAACCTGGAGCATATTAGAATGTTAAATTTCCATTTTCTTCTAATTTTAGCCTCAAATATAATCCACGTATGTCAATTTTACTTACTTGTTTGTTTAAATGCTTGAATAAATTTTCTCTCCATATGAGTAATGCTAATTGATAAACTTCATAAGTTTGTTTATGCCCCTCCTCACATTCCCTACGTACCCAGTGTCTGTTTAGATACGCACACACACCATGTAAAACTTTACTACTAAACTGATACTCTTCCCACTGTCTTGTATAGAACTGCAGTACATCTTCATCCATCAAGTCTACTCCATGCTGTATCAAAGGTTATCATGTATCAAAGGCTAATCAGATTATGACATTGTCTAATTTTTTCTTTCAAATCAATACATGTTAATAATTAATAAAATAGTGGTTACCTCCAGTAAACTAATGAGATAATTTCTAAGGTAGTCACGTAAACGTTTGTATAACTCCAGACCAACTAACTGTGCACCTCCTTGAGAGATTTGTCCTTTTTTGCTTTTAATCAATGTTTTACTTACTTGTTGATGAACGCTTGTACAATAATCATATACATGACTGATGAATTATATAATGTAGTAAGGAAATTACTAGATCACTGACAATTATACTGTGATTGTTTTGGTAATTACAAAGGATACGTATATAATTCTATATATCTTGGTTTAGACATGCATTGCCTGTTATAAACTTGTTCAATACCCTCGCGGAGATCTCCCCAGATTTGATCTAAATCTATTTGCCTAAGACCTGGGTAGCCTCCTTGATAATACCCAGCCCCTCCACTGCCTCTATACCCTGACATCCTATTTCAATACGCTTGTCGAGCGAGCGTCACTGTTACTACTTCCTACAATAAATTCTGTAGGGAAGATACAAAAGTGACTGTCACAGTAAATCTAATGAAAAATTAAAATTAAATACATAGGGATCCCGATATTAAAACAAACATCAAATAATGATAGAGTTTTACTTTCATTTACATAGACATACAACATTACTTTATTTTAGATACTCCATTTCATAGAAACTGCATATCAAGAGATGAAACAAAGACAAAATCAGTGGCTGGAATTAATTTTGAAATACACTACGTTCAATGATTTCATGAGTTATTGATAGTTTCACAATATTGATGTCACAACTACTTGCCTATGCACATACTTGAGGCTGTTAAAAACTGCTTTGTAAAACTATAAATAAAACTGCGTGAAACTTTTTTTGTGCGTGTGTACGAAGAATGTTAGAAGCGAGCGTTCGTAGGTTCAACTAGATACAAAAATATCCGTGAAAAAAATCATTTGTGCGGAAATGGTTAGTCGGTAATCGGAAGGTCCATACCGATGTAGTTATATCAGGATGCGCATCGTTAGTAGTGGCTCGAATCTTTCGTCAGGAAACATCGGAACATCACAAATCTTCGTGCTACAACACTACCACCCGTCACTATTGGACATCCACAAGAAAAGCAATTGGCAGAAGTAACACCACCGTAGCCCGTCGCCATGGGAAAATAATTTTTTTCGTCGGCAGAACGAGGGAAGTGTATCGTGAGACAAAAATCATACACTCACCTGTCGACGTTCACCACCGCATAACAGGCAGGGTTGGACAAGGGAGTTCTTGTGAAAATGTGGTGGCCACTTTTAACGATCACCGCTACTCCGTTCTACATACACATCGATAGGAAATTTTCACTACCTCCACTTGTTATTTCTATGCTCTTCGCGATGACAAACACAGCAGATCCGCGAACCTAAAATGTTTTACCTTACGTGCCCAAAACTGATCACGGTTGCGATCTGCTGCTTTACTTCTGACAGGTTAGGTGCCACTGTTACCAACGAAACGATGCATCAACGATTTTCTGAGTTATTTCGTTTGGTTATTCATTTGTGTTACTGCTCGACTTTACATTAATGATATTTTTATTTTCCGACGCTCTTTATCACTTATTGTATTACCGTTGAAATTTGAGCGAAGAATGTTTAGGACAAAGGAAGAAATCTAACGTTACTGTTTCACAAAGCGACAATAAAAATTCCGAGAGACACAGTGCTTTTTATTTTCAAGTGTGGATGCACTGATTGTGAAATCAGTATACGAAATTTAAACAATCGTTAATCGCCTTTTTTGTATTACACAAAATTCCATTTATCACCATTGAATTTTTAACTATCTACGATTCAACTATCTGCATCAGCAAGGATTATATTTTGTTTTAGGTATTTTATGAATTTTTCCTTTTCTTTGAAATTTGATATGAAATTTACAAGCAATATATATTTCACTATATAACTAGGAAATTTGTATTTTATTTAGTTTAACATTTAAGTAACATTTTTTATTAATAATTTCAATTTTTACAATTACTTAAATAACAGTATATAAAACTTAACATAAATAAAGAAATGTGTATTGTTGAGGTGATAGGAACATTGCTGCGAAGAATAAAATGTAACAATGTTGAAATGGATACATTTATTGCCAGAGTAAGCTGAAATATAAAATGTTCATTTTTAAATAGGATACATTAAATTTTATGTAAAATCATTCCTAATAAAACTTACTTTACAATCGATAGTTCAGGCATTCCTGGATCAGCACCTTTTCTAAATCCTGTAAATCAAATCATTGAATTATTTCTAGAGAATTATTTCATTTCTATTACATTATTATACAGTCGAATAAATATAATTATGCTTGTAATTATTAAGGAACGTGCATCTAACCTAAAAATAATACAGCAGGAATGAATCCCCAGTGAAATACAACTTTGCTCACGTCTAAAACAATTGCAATTTTTTGCTTTGTACTCGGACTCATTGCCATTTTGATAAAATTGTTTTGAAAATTCTAAAGAATTTAACGTACAAAACGTTTAGATGAACCCTCCGCAAAGTCACACGGAAATATAGTTCCTAAACGTAACTCGATTATTTCACACGATCACAGATCTTAAAATAATCGAAGAGAGTGATGTGTAAGGATACTTTTTTCAAGACACGTTTGCTGTTCAAATACTACCTTAAGCTTCGTTGTACTAATAGTTTGTCAGTCAATGATAAATTTCATTTGTTGAAAACGAAACCATACTTTTTTATAACTGTTATGTGCTTCTCTAGTACTTATGTAGTTTATGCTTATGTTTTGACAGGGACCAGTTGTCATATGAAAGTATAGTTTTGATCGATTTACACTTTCTCAATGGTAATTTAGATATTTTATGTTTATGCCAAGTAATAAATATTTCACTAAATGCATTGAAATATTTTTGATTTCATTTTAGAGTTCGTTACATTATTGCGTTTGGGGTTCATGCGCTCCGGGGAAGTATTGTTGCGGAGATAATATATGCTGCGAGGAGACAAACTTTGATTCATTGTTCTTAACGTATGTTTAATATTTTTTTGTAGTACATTAATATACGCCAGCATGGAAATAATATTATTGATATAAAACCATGTTAACAGGGTTATCATTCTTGGAACGCTGATTGCTGTGGCACTTTGTTGTGCCTGTTTCTATTGCAGTTCTCGTCGGAGTTATGCTCCATTTTTAAAAAGATATTTTAAAATTAGCTATACTTTAATGTCTACAAAGTGGGATAATAAGTCGGGTTCTACGATAAATAAGGATTCAACAACAAAAGATTGCGTTGTACAAGTAGAAACAACAAAGGTCTCTTTGTAACAAACACTTATCATGATTATTTTAATCTATGCTTTGTTTCGCCTGAATAACAACTTTTAACAATAGACCTGTTTTACTTACAACATTTTTTCATGCATTCCAGAATGATGAAATATATATTTACAGGATATCAAATTGTATACTTTTAAAAGAGAAATATATTTTACAATGATGTAAATTTTTATTTGTTTAAGTTGCAAATGATTAAATGATACATACTATTGTTTTAAAAATAGTTATTTTGTTTCTATTACTTTATTAGATTGGTGCACATGAAATATTTATTTTTGTTATTTTTACTCTTGAAATTTTATTTTTTTTTCTAAATAAATGGATATGAGTTACACTGCTTTTAATTGTCAATTATTACACATTATGGAGTTCCTTATGACACGTGGAACTGCAAGATTTAATGCATTAAAAATTATAAAATAATTTATTACGAAATTAAAACATGTATAAAAACAGTGTTTAAAGAGTCTTTTGATTCTGAAACCTTTGATTTTTATTAAACTGTAGATTATCTCCGTTATACGATGTTCAAATTAAAGGATTATACATATACATAAAATCACGTAATTGCGAGAGAATCCTAATGGACCGCGTTTTTTGCCAGGAATGTATTGTAGGCAAATGCAAAAGTGGGACAAAATATGAAAAAATTCGTCAAGCTGTTCAAATATATTGTAAATGTTAACATTTTTAATTGAAAGTTTATTATTATACATAATTAATAACTTATATTATACTATCACAATCGAGTCTAGTACAAGTCATGTTGCGCGAAAGGTAGTAAAGCTGCGAGAGTCCGATTTTGTACTGAATAGACAGAGACGTACAAATGCTGCGTACTCTTTCTATCAAGTACAAAATCAGATTCTTGCGGTTTTACTGTTTTTCTTCCAGCATGACTAGGACTGAAGTTGGCTGTGTTACTAAGAACGTTATTCTAAGAAAGGGTCTATGAGATCTATTAAACCGTCGGAGAAAAAGGTTAAGAATCACTATCGTATTATTAAAAGTTTTTTTTGTGGATGCAACATTTTGAGAGGGAAGATGCAGAGTAATAAGGATTTCTTTTCACATCAACACGAAGGAGAGTCTAATCGATTTTATTACTGGTAACTGAAACAATTTTTGCAGCATTGTGAAGAGAAAATTTCTCCTTTGTTTGTAAAAAAAACACGCTCTTTTCTCGACATTGACTCTCAAGCAGAGATGCCAGAAAAGCACCGCCGGGTGCACACGCACACATGCCAGATACGCGCACGTGAGCTCGTGGAGTTTCGGAAAGTCGACAAAGGCAAACTGACGCATGCTCTCTTTCTCGATTCTCCGAAGCTGCCAGAAGTAATTTCGGATCGCCTCGTGGGAGTCGAGAGAGAAAGGCTCACATTTGCCATCTCGCTCTAAACAACTGAAATCCGACCTCCCGTCAACGGCATACGATTTGGATTCTCGAGCCGAGATTCTCGACTGCCCAGGCATTTTTACTTTCCGACCTATGTAGGCGCACATAAGCAAAGTACCCATAATGAAAAAAAAATTTTGTAAAATTTATTTTACGGAAATACACGTTTTAGGACCTCCTGATCATATTTTAATTATTGAAAAAAAGAAATTTTTTTTATTCCCATGTATGAGCACACATATGTATATTATTAATACGATTTTTGAAAATCAAAATACTTTAAGATTGAAAATTAATAAATTAAAATGAGATTCCACTCTTTACCAGTATTGTGCACGCTGTGGTATTTTTCAATAAGAAGAGTTCTTACTTTTATAACATAAACAAAACAGTAGAATTAATAATTGCAGAAATTAATTAATAATGATTTTCCTCGATTGTTTTGAAATAACCGTATCAATTGGTTATGACGAACTAAATAGAACTAACTTGAAACAAAGGAAAAGTGATCCCGTTTGCCAGTTTAATACAAAGTATGGGTTGTATCTTAAATTTTAAAAGCACATAGTCGAATATTTTTAAAGGTACAAAACATAGCGTTTCATTGTAGAACAGTAACATAAGTTAGCAGGTAATGTCATAAAACTGTTTTTCCCAGCTATATCCCTTTTTACCTGAAGTATAAGGTAAAAAGTACGAGCTACAAGGCACGACTATCCGAAAATCGTTCACATTTTATCAATGTAAATGAAGCGGCCTTTCCATCAGAGTTAAATACAAAATTTTGTAATTTCTGTGAAAACAAAACTCAGTAAATGTACGTGGTGCTTGAAATTTTTATGTTTTGACTGTTTTTGTGAAAAGTACCATCCAGATTCATGTACTTCGTACATTGAAAATAACATATGTTAAATGTAATCGGTTAAATTTAACTTTAAAAAAAAATATTCGAAGGTCAGACAAAAATATAATGTCATATTTAGTGTACGATTAAAGTATGATTGAAAAAATAAAAAAAAAAGTTCAAGCAGGGTTCGAACCAGCAGAGCAGAAGAAGTTCGGAACTTGCAGGCAAAGACCTCATCACTCACGCCACGCTGATTAATGGTGAACATAGTTCTCTATTTCTGAAAATAAGTACCTGAAATAACTTTAATAATATCTCAAAGTAAAACCTAACCCAAAACCTGGTACCATTCCAACTTTTCCTTGTTAGAAACGAGTTTTCAATTTGTCTTAGCGAAAATCGCAATCACATTTTGCACATTATTCTAAAACATTTGTGGTATTCGTTTTCAATGCGATTTAAGTAAGCATGTAATGTATAAGATTTCATTTAATGTTTTCTTTTCTAGAGAAGATAGAGAAAAAGTTTATATAATTTTTTTTATATAAAATTTAATTCGTCCTAAGATTTATATGAAACATTTAAAAGATTTTTTATACATTATGCCTATATATCGGAACAACTATGAAACAAGAGGTATAATCTGTAAGGAGTGTATGTGTGTGGCTAGGAGAACCGTTATCGTTTGCGTCGATAGGAGTGTTTAGTCTAACAATAAGCTAGAGTAGGTATCGAGTGAGGTGTTTAGGTTTAAGCTGAAATACGTTTTAGAGACTGCGTCTCGAACGTGCGTTTTGTTTAGATCATTATTATAAGATAGGAATAAGGAAGGGTCAACTTTGACTGCAGGAACGTCACTCTGTATCGAACGTTAGTCGAGAGCAATCACAGTTTTACGTTTATGATCTTTTACGTTTACGTTTTATGTCTTTCTTTTATGTTCTTTATGTTAAATAGTTAGTAAATATTAAATAATATAATTACATCGTTACGTTTAGTGTTCACGTATTTGAATCCGTCCACACGCCTTTGAAATGAGAACATAAAACTTAAATGTAAAGTTTCATTTAAATTCATTCAGCTATTTA